ACAGCAAACATGAGGTCCAGGCCTGGTATCCTGAAGACACAGAGAACCACCCTCTTGCACTGGGTGGTGAAGAAAGTTACCATATTTATACCTCTCACAAATTTAGCGCTAGGAAGGCAAGCTACTGACATCGGGGACAACATAAGACTAAGATTTATTTAATGCCAGCAAAGAAATACACAAATTGTTCCTAACCAATTCCAAAGAAACCAACTAGACAGACTGAGCAAACAGAATTTGGTTTGAGCTGATCCAGCTGATATTTCCTGTAGCAATTGGACAGACCAATACAATGGAAAAGGCATTACAACAAAGATGTGACAACAGAAGGACCAGCACAATAAAAAGGCACTATAAAGAAAATGAAGAAAAATCACTCACCCCATCAGAAGATTCTAGATCCCAGGAAAAAGCATCACCAAGGAGGGATCTCCAGAAAGAGATCCTTCCCCAGCAGCAGTCAGCCCTTAAATGAGGTCTAAGAGGTGCAGCCAGGCTCCACCCCTTCCAATCACACAGATGAATTGCCTTCACCTGTGCTCCCAGGGCTGACCAGGTCTTTTACCCAGGTGCTCAATCAGTGGTTCAGGCTATGACTCAACAGTTCCCATATACTGTTCAAAGCACATGAGATTTTGCATAAATACGGCCTCCAGCAAAGCAATGGTGTGCATAGCCTCAGGAAGGAGGCAGTGATAAGCACATGGTAGCAGACTACTCTCCTTAGGGCACAGCTAGTTCCAGAGAAAACATCTGTCCAGGCCTCACAAACATCATGTTTGTGGAATCAGAGATTCAGTGAGAATCTACATCTTCAGTGAGAAGATGTAGAGGTGGAAAACAAAGAAAAAGTAGGTATTTTCCTTTCCACTCATGCCATCTTAGTAGGATTTCTCTGTCCGCACAGAAAAATATTTTGTGATTTGATCCTGTCATCATACCTTAAAAGAAAGCTCTGCAGCTTATCTGGATGACCAGCAAATTCAACCAAGGTAAAGCTACGTGCATACAGTAGTTCTAGACACAGCTTCCAGTCCCTCAGATGTAGCAAAGGTAGCTTCAGATGAGTTAACTCAAATGATGCTGCTACTGTGTAGCCACTTCAACACAGCACTCAAAACCTACTGGAGATGCAGCAGTCCCGGAATCCATGCCCACTACTACTCTGCTTACCTGGTAATGAGCCTGGGCTTGCTGAGCTGAATTCAGAGTGACATTGCAGAGCTTACAGCACAGAGGCTTACATAGTTCCTCCAGCATAGGGTCCTGCTCCACCACCTTTGCAAGCTCTTCGTCTTGTGCGTGATAAAAGGAAGGCCCCAGTCCAAGTGATTTTGGTGGGGAGAGTGGCGAGGTGGCTCTGGGCCTTGTAGCCACTGACATAGGAAGAGATGAAGGTTTCTCAGGATGAGGAAGAAGTCCTGCTTGCTGTAGAAGAATCATTGGCCAAGACGACTGTGGGCATACTATTTCTGAAGGATGAGGAGTCCTCTTCCAATCTAGACCAAAAAGACACAAATGCTCAAATAAGTCACACTAATAACTGAGGGGACAACTTCTGCAACTGTATTGCCTCTGCTTTATGCCTTTTTACAATTCCAAGCAGGTATAAAATCAGCTTGTAAGAACAGCAGGACAACATAACCATGGCAAGATATTAAAAATACATGGGTATAAGAAACAGACAGTGATCTGAAACACAGCCGTTAGCACCCCAGGGCACCTTTGCAGACACATGAAGATCCCTCACAGTATCCGACCCAGAAGCAGATCCTGCCATACACACCCCAACGCTCCATGACTGCTAGATGTGACCTCCAACACACAGCACCTAAAGCTGTGTTAACAGGAATGAGGTACACGACCGTTAGCCACATCCTCTTCTGACAGCCTAAGCAGAAGCTCACTATCTAAAACATAAACAAATACTACAATTCATAACTACTACACGATACTAGAGAACTTAGAAAGAACAGAAATATTTCAAAGTGTATTTATTTTACATTAATATAAAATACATCTACACACATCTACATCACCCAAATAATCACAAAAATCTTCAGAATAAATATCCCAAGGTTAACTTTTCTCATCTGAGTCATCAACAAGGCGAGGAGTGGGAAACATCGTGAGCAGATCTTGTACACAATCATTTCTCAAGCGCCCTTTTCCCAGATCTCCCATAGTCTTGTGGAATGACCTTGAGCTACTTCTCTGCGTTTCCTTCTCTACGCACAACCTATGCAGCAGCCGTATCTTCTTCTACAAAAATGGAGTGCTTATCCCATATTAACCTTTATTCTATTATTTCTCAGTTAATTTGAGTTCTTAGAACTAACGTTACATTTCCGACAAGGGGTTCTGAGAGGCTTATTTAATTAAAGTTTATAAATCACATCTAAAGCCCGGGATGAACAATCCCAGAATAATGCTGAGCAGTGATATTATGAATCGAGGCACAGCTACTTTTGTTAATGTCTTCTTAGCTTCTTATCATAACAAATCCCATTCAGTGTTACATTGTGGTAGACAGCTGCATTATCTGTGGTGTCTGCTGATGACTTCTAGCTCAGGCTGCATTGGTAGCAACCATGTCTGTGCTGGGGGCTTCCACTGTTTAAGCAAATAGCAAGCCACGTCTGCATCTTAAAATAGGAGACTTCTGGAAGATTAAGGGAAAGGTAAATTAAATGCCACATAGGAACTTTGGTTCTGAATCGCATTTGAAAATAGATTTTGACTTCAAAGGCATTTAGGAACCTGGAGGAGACAGCATTTATCTGGGATAACTTCTGGGATTTTCAATCTGCTAAAATTAGCAGGAGATAAATACTGTGTTGCATTCAAGCTCTGGAAAATCCCAGCTGATGATTGCATTTTTAGATCCTCTATTACCTTTGAAAGTCTGACCCCATAAAGGTTTATGTTCCATTAGGAAAAAAGAAAACATGGGATTAAAACTCTCAGGTGACATAAGCACTTCTGGAATTGTTACATCTAAACAATATAAGATTGGAGGGCATGAACCTAACATGAATCAAAACGTGACCACAAAAACAAAATCAAAAAGAGCTTCATGAAAACTAAGTGAAACATAACGAAACAATATGCTGCACAAAGAATAAACGAAGAATGAGCATGGTGTAAACCACCCATCAGCAGGCCAACTTCTGTACTGCCACCCAGCTTCTCTCCAACTTCTGGCACAGGTTCTGCTAGACTAACGGAACTATGGAAAAAGTTTCTGCTAGCTTCAGTTTCTGCAACTAGTGCCTTGTAGACACTGTAACCAATTTCAGTGATGCTGATGATGGAACCAGCTTGTATTCACAATAGTTACACACATCACACCACAGACCTCTCAAGGCACTTGACATCAGCTATGCAAGTAGCTAAACATGCCATTAAACTTCAGAGTTTTACTTCAACATCATAATGGGCCTCTTACTTTAAAAAGAGAGTCAATTATAGATAAATACTTCAGAGAGCAATATAAAGCAACCTACAGTAAACAGCAATCAGGATCCATCTGCTTAATTTTGCATGAGTGCTTGCTGTGCCACATCTTCCATACTCAATGGGTAAGGCTGGGATATCAAGCACAAGGCAAGACACTGCTTAAAGGATCTGCATCCACCGGGAAAAAGGCATAAAGCAATACCCCTAGAGAAATCATTATTTATGAGGTCATTCGCTGTTCCTCAAAGTAAACAGTACTCTGAAGATAGAGTTAAGGCTGCATGGGCAATTTTAAAATTAGAACTCCATGGCTTTGCACATACAACTCTAGTGTTCTTCTAAAGGTGGTCTGTCACGAAAACTGCTCTAATTACATCATTTTCCTCCTTTCAGACACTATTTAAAAGAAAGAAAACCGTTCTGTTTCATCTTATTCATGTGTTCTTCTAACATCACACTGCTGGTTACTACAGATACCCATCCAGAAGTTCACAGGACACGTGGACTCCTCCTTTCCACTCACACAATAAGCTGTAAAATTTGTTATGCTCACAGAACAGCAAATGAGTAAAGGACCTCTCTTGTGAGAGAGCTGGGCCTCGGCCTTAACTGTGGGCATCGCAGCCAGCAGAGTGCACGGCCAGCCCACGACCTTCCTCAGCCGCGGGCAGAGCTCACAGCCTACATGACAAGCAGCGCTCTGAGAGGAATCAGTTTCTAAATGCATGGGGGCAATTTAGAACAGAGATACGGGTTTATATAAGCCATGAAAAAGCCGTGGGTTGTCTTCCCAGAACTGCAGAGGTTTCCTCCCAAGCCGGTCGGTTTCCCAGCACGCTGCCATCCTGCTCGGAGAGCCCCTTCGCCCGCAGCTCCACAGAACCTCACCGAAACGCAGCGTGTCACGCACAGCGCACACAGCAGACATCGCAGCCATTCGCACCGAGGGCCAGGCCCCTCTACGCTAAGATTCTATGACTCAATCCGGGCAAGGACGCACATAAAGCTGGTTCAGACCAAAGGCGCCTACGGACACCCGAACCGCACGGCCCTCCCACGCGCGGGAAGCCCCGCGGCACAGCGCGCCGTGTGGAACCGCCCCGGGCCCGCGCCGTCCCCTCGCCCGCACCTACCGGGCCGGAGCCGCCTCCTCGCGCAAGCCGGGCCTCGGGAAGCCGGCGCCGGGCACGGCGGGGCCCAGCTGCAGGAAGTGAGGCGGGACGGGGCGGGCACCACGCGTGCGCGGCGCGGAGCTCCGCATCCCGTGCCACGGCGGAGGCCCCGCGCTAGGTGGCAGCACGGCGCCGGCAGCGCGCCGCAGAACGCGCCGAGGCCGCGCCGTTCGTCGTGACGTCTCGCGATGACGTCACGCCGCGACCCTCCCGCCCCGCTCTCTCTCGGCGGCGCATGCGCGCCGCCCGCCGCCCGCCTCCCCCGCCTTTCTCTCCCCCACGCCCCCGCGGTTCCACTTCCGGCGGGCGGCGCCTTCCCCGTCCGGGGTCAGGCCCCGCCGCCTTCCTGTTATTGCCGCTGCGGGAGGCGGCTCGCCCGGGGGTGCCGCGCGGACTGCGGCGCCGCTTCCGCCAGCGCCCGGGGGGAGGCGGTCCGCCCGCTCCAGGGTCCCGCGGGGCGGCGCCCGGGGGCCGCGAGGAGCGGCGGGGGAGACCGCGCCCGCGAGGTGAGCGAGGCGGCGGCGGGGCCTGCGGGGGGGAAGCGCGACCCCCAGGCGGGGCGCTGCGCTGCGGATGGCGGGGCGGGTGCTGCGGCGTGCGGCCGCGGCTCGGGAAGCGGAGGAGCTGAGCGCTTTGTGTCGCGTTGCTGGGCGGAAGCTTCGCCTCCGCGCGCAGACCCGGGGTCCGCTCGTCGCCGGTGATGAACGCGAGAAGGCGACTTCTTGTCGGAGCTCGGGTATTTATAGGCTTCGACTGGCCTAACGCGAACGGCGTGCTCGTTTTCCCCGCGGGGCTGTGGTGCTGTTGTGGGCGTGCCTCGCGTTACTGAGGTATCGGAGCCGCTGCTGGTGTTGCTCAGAGTTCTTTTCCTTAGTCAGTTTTATCTCTTCTCGAAGGCTTTAAGGATCTGCTGCACAGCCATAGCCCCGCAGCACCGCGTGCTCGCAGCGCACACACGTGAGCTGTGTTTACAAGCGGGCCGTGCGGCTGCGGGGTGTGAGGCCTTTCTGAAGGGAGCCGGGGGTGCTGGACTGGCTTTGGGAGCTGAATTTCTCACTGCTTTAATGGAGAATGCCGAGTCCTGGCCTGTCACCTATTTGTACCCATACATTCCTAGCTTTGAGTGCCAACAAGTTTCCAAATTCATCGTGCTGGGGAAGTTCTTTGCTTTTGCCAGCATTACCTGAGTTCTGTAATTTATTCTCCTCACAATTAACTTACAGGGATGTTCTCGTAGCTTTTGCTTCAGTTCCTTCTATGCCCCAATTCTATAATGCAGTGCAATAATCAAAGTCCAGCTCTCACTGTGTGTAAACAACATGTGTGACCAGGAATATTCCAGTCCTCAGGATGACGGCTTTAATGGTTTATACACTGCAGGGAACTCACTGGATAATTTGTTCTGAAATAATGTTCTTTGTGAGGAGAAAATTTCACAATAAGTAACGTTGTTCTCCAACAGCAAGCTCTTGCAGAGCAGCAATTTGGAAGCATGTTTTAACAGCGTCACTGTGAAACCCCAGATCAACAAAGCTCATAGTGTTTACAGGGGAATTGGTGAAACCACACAGTGCTGCCTGTGATCTGGGAAGTGTTGTCTTTGTCATTAAGACAATAAACATAGCAGCTTCAGAGGCTTAGCTGGAGTTCTGCTGGGGCAGGTGCCCTGAATTTCAGGGGTGTGAACTTGATGCCGTTCTTATCAACTTGGAGACAATGTTACTTGTTTTTCAGAGCACTAAGCCCAGCCTACAGACCCACACCCAGATGTTTTAGCTATTCTGCTGCCTCCAATGCTCATTCAATTTGAATGGCAGAAATGTATTGCTTTTTGTTACAGCTTGCTTCTACTGATAATGAAACTGAGTGTTTTGGTTTCACTTTGTTTTCTTTTCTGGAGTATTCTTTGGAAAAGGTGGTGTAGCTGAGCTGTTTACAAAGCAATTGTGCTTTATTGGAAGTCATAAAGCAGTTCAGGACCTAGTTAACTATTTCTGTGCCAGTCAAAGTTAATTGCTCTCGGGAAGTAAGTGGGGAATAGTTGTTTCTGGACAGCTGTTGTAAGAAATTGCTGGAGGATTTGGAATAGGATTGATGAAAAGCAAAAGTTTTGTACCTTTAACCATCATGCTGCTTCACAAAACCAAGTAGTCTGTAAGAGCTTTCCAGGTATTGGAAAAAAAAATAATACCTTTGAATGGTGTTATCATGTGAAGAATGAGCTTCTTTCTGATCACAGTTGTTCCTTGTGTTTAAATACATGCTGTGCTTGCTCACGTGTCATAAAGTTTTAAACAACATCAATAGCCATAACATTACACTCAAAAAGAGATGCATGGTCTGTTACCTCTGGATGAATGGAACTAAGGCTTTCCATTTATTTTTAACTTTGATACTGAAGAGGAAAGAGTCAAAACTGATGCTATTTTTTCTCTTGTGGAATATAGTCAGAGAAGGAATATGAATTGAAATAATGCAAAGAGGATTTTAAAACATTGTAAGTAATGAAGCAAAAGTCAGTTTTATAATTTTGTAACTATTGGAAAACATGTGAGACTTATTAAATCTCCCAGATGAGGAAAAATGGGCCACATGTGTTCTGTGCATGTAAATGAGGTGGAGGAGGAGCGTTAGAGAGAGGAAGTGTTTGTACTTCCACAAACTGAAGGAACAGGCTGATGGCTTGAGGTGTCAGTTAAGGTAGGAGTTGTTTTTATACCTTTTTGGTCGTCACATTCTGTGCTTTTAGGAGTTGGTCTCTTCCTTTGGAAAAAAGACCTCTGGTTCCTGCAAGTAATGATACTTGCCTGAAATTGTAACTGAGGGGACAAGAGGCAACAAAATTATTTGTGGTAGAACTGGGTGGAGTTTTCTTTTACTCTGAATGTGTCCTGGCAAATAATTGTTACAAATCTCTCTTCCCGGTGCCTTCATCCAAGTGGGAGCGGTGCAGAGAGAACAGATTTGTTTCTCTTGGTGTTTGTTCGGATGCCAATCATATGTGAGTTGTTCTGAGTTCTGGATGAGCTCGGATAGCCTCCAGAGGTCCCTTCCAATTTGAATTATTCTGTAAACATACTTTTAAATGGTAAATGGAATATTATATGAACCAGAAGTAATATTCTGAAGTGTTAACTGTTTGTTTTCCATGTTGTGTTGCTACAGTTTAAAAAAAAAAAAAAAAAAACAAAAACAAAAAAAGTGGGGTTGAGCAGGTTAAGGATAGCTGAACTGTTTAAAAGATTGGACTTACCTTAGATATGTAAGCAAACCTGTGGAAATGTTGCAGATTGAGTACTGCCTATGTGAGGTTGAATCTGTTTTCTCTAAGCAGTGGTTTTCAACCAAGCGTTTTTATTTTATATAGCTTGCATAGGAGGTATTTTCCTAGTTAATTTTGGATCTCCCTTTGTGAAAGGCAGTGTAGAAACCATGTGTACTTCAAAGTAGTAGTGTGAGAGACAGTGGAAATAATCACTTGTTCTCTAGTAACAGTGTACTTTTCTCAAAGCTAATAAAGTGGGGAATAAAAGCACTTGGCAGGCATGACTGAGCAAGTACACTCACTGGGAATGTTTATGGTCTGTTCTGGAGAGGTTATGTCTGAGTACCTGAACTCTAGAAGTGTGGCAACAAAGTTCAAAGAAACCAACTTACCTTTGCAAAATAGGAGGAGGGAGAATGATGAAGGTTTAGTGTAGCCTTCACCTCTTTGGCATGTTGTTAATTTAGCAGTAGAAGTAAATTAGCACTGCTGAAGTGTAGTTTAAAAGCAGTTGAGTCAAGTGAAGAACTTCTGGTGTTTGGTGTGTTTTTCTTTTGTGCCCTGTTGCTTTTTCACCAGCAGTAGGTTAGGTACATGTCAAAGAAATCTTTTAGTCTGCTTTTTGATAAGTTTCCTTATATTAACTTTATCCTTGTGGGTTTTACGTAGGATGGATTTGGCAGTTTTAATTTAATTGGAAATTACGAGTAAAATAAATGCTGACAAATTGAGCTTTTTGAGGATTGTGAACCATGAAGCGTGTTTGTTGGATACAAGGGGTTTACTGAATTGGCCAAGACTTACGGTAAAGTTCTCTGAAACCGAGACAGCTGAGTCACATTATTGGCTGTACATTATGGCCCTTTTCTAAGGCAAAGAGATGAAAAATAATACACATACAACATGTTTCTTTACAAGTCCAAGCAGAAAAGAAAGGAAAAGGGACTGGAAGGTTGCCTCCTAGACTGCACTGTATTTCAAAAGACATATATATGTGCTAAAACTCAACTTTTTTCCATACTAATCGCTTAATGTGCAGGCTAGTCAGTCTTGTGCTAGTACTTGAGGTAGCTAATGGAGATAATACCTCAGACTCTTCCCAGATTTTAACTTGCACAGTTTACTTGAATTGTGATCCTTTCAGAAGCACAGGGTACCTGTTAGGATCCCAGTTGTCTGGCAAATGTCTTGACTGCTTAGCAGTGAGCCCTTGTGATGAGCAATACCTCTGCTGGTTTTCTTCAACAGAGCAACCTAGGTTGGTCTTCAAAATACTAGTAGTTAATTTAAAAAAAAAAAGAAAAAAAAAAAAGCAGTTCTTGAATATCTTCAAAATGCAAGAAGCATTGAGCAGGACTGAAATGTTTGAGATTCAGCATTTCGTCTGAGATGAATTAACCACAAATAGAAATACCTGCCTGTTTTCTAATTCAAGTATAACAGAACAAAATCTCTGTGCCCTGGGACTTAAGCCTCTGCCTTTCTAGAAAAACAATGATGCTGATTGCTGCAGAGATGCAGGCAAGCTAAGCACAAAACATCTGCAGGTACAGGCACAAAGAAAGGAATAATGAGCAGGGAGTAAGGACTGCTTTACCGCGCAAGTAAAGTGGTAATAAATTGATTCTCAGATTTTATGAAAATACTTTCTGTGGTGAGATATGTTGTTAGGAGTCTTTGGTGCTTGTGCTATTAGGTAACTTTTTATGAAGGCTGGAAAGCATTAACTGGACTCTTGACTACAGGCATAGCTTAAAAAAAAAATAAAAAAGTTAATGTTGATTATATTAACTTAAGAAGTTTCTAGATAAACCTCCCTTTGGGAAAGGAAGTAAATACTTCCATTCCAAATAGTATTCTAAAATAAGTACGTTGTGGCCATTAAAATGCTTAGACTATAAAATATACCACTTATTCTTCATTTTTGTGTTTATGTTCCCAGTCTGAACACAGTTACCAGCAAATGCTACTGCTGGATTTTAATAATGGAGAGTGAAAACTTCTACTGGGTTCTGAGAAGTTGATGCAGATGCTGAACATCCAGTTCTGCTTACCAGTTTGTGAAGATAGTCTTCACTGGTGGAAGGAAAGCAATTAATTTACTGCATTTTGTTCTGTCAATTCTGTACAATCTTCCATTTCAATGTCAGGTACTACTGAAGAGCACTTTTTGTAGAATCAAAGTGGTTTTCCCAAGAAAACTTTTAGCCTCTATCTGAGATGCTGTTGCTGTAGAGGATACACTTAACCAGTTGTGATTTCTTTTTTAGATGGTATTTAGCTAAAATGAAGCATATAAAGTGGACACCAGCATTTTAATTGAGTAGGTGAAGTTTAATTATTCTGCTTTTTAGTAAAATTCTCTTAAGTTATATTCTTCTTCATCTTGCTCTGAAATGGAGGATGAAGCACTCAGGTAGTTATCACTGCTCAGCAGTGCTCCCTTGATTTAGGTCTCCAGCTTGGAATGTTTTGACGTGTTGAGGAAGATGGCATAACTGCTAACTAGGGGTAAAGGATGTAAATGTGAACTGGGAGGCAAGAAAACTACCTGAAGAGAAGTAGAGCAAAACCTATTCCTGACTCTGGAGGCTTTGCTTAAATGTGTTGTCAAATTATTTTGCAACCCAGCTCTTCAACTCTTCTTTCACCAGCTCTTTTCCAAACCCTTTACTGTATATTAGCAGAGAGAATGATATCACAAGCAATTGCAAGGTGATTTGAGATGTGTAACCATCATTACAACAGCTTCATTTTGTCTTGATGCCCTGGTGTGTGAGCCATGATTTAGGTAACTTGCAATATGGTTCCTCTTCCCTAATTGGTGTTTTTTTATGGACTGGAATTAAATATAGGATACTTAACCTTGGGGTAGAACAGGACATCACACAAGCTTAATCTTCACTAGGTTGGTTTTTTTTTCCTAAAAGGAAGTTCTGTCACTGTAATGTATCCCTTTTAACAGAGTTCTGATTGTACTGATAGGCAACATGTGCTGTAGTGTCAAAGCATTTAATGTTATGGATATGAAAGTGACCTTCCAAGCAGGAGAGTTGAGAAGTCTTGAAATTGTTGCAGAGAAGTTGGTGGTATTTACTGTTCAAATGCCTCTGAGTTCATGTCACTTCTTAGGAAAGTTCCTGTTATTTGTACGTATCTATTGAGGCAAATATTAGCAGTTTCTTTCAGATGTAGTAAACATGAATGGGTGGTATCCTGACCTCATGAGAGAAACAATGTGGGTAGCAGCTTGGTGCATAGGAGAAGGAGATGCACTAACAACGAGCGCAGTGTCTCAGCAGCGCTTCTTTGCAGAACACAAGGTTTGCAAAGCAGATGTTTCTTACAGATGCGTACAGGAATGATGAAAATTTGATCAAAACAGGCTGAAGAACCCTTTGTTGCACTTAACCATAGCTGTTCTCATACTTCAGGCTGCAGCAGGCAAGGACTAATGACAACATAGTCAACATGAGTCATATGTTCAGGAAGAGCAAACAAACAAATGCAAATATGTTACTGTCTGAGGAATCATAATTGTTACCTTGGAGCTCAATGTGGAAGTGCAGAGAGAAGTCTTATTCAAGCATCATTGATGGTTTGAACAAGGATAAACCTGTGCTCCTTCAGGCTTCACAGAAACTTTGGGTTTATTTCCAGCTTAAATAAAGCAAGCAAATGTACTTACAAAATCAGTAATTCTGTCAAAAGAGTTGCCTCAAATAGAGACGCCCTCCTCCATCTTCTGACACATGTAGGTGCAGTGCACCTAAGCAGCCTATGAGCTTTAGGGGCACAGGTGAAGTCCCACAGGAGAAGGGATTGGTGTTAAAATGTTTCACAGCTGAACAGCGTCCTGCTGTGCTGCTCTGTGTGTGGGTAAGTACCGCTAGTCCCCATCTGCTGGTGTGGTGAGCGAAGATCCTTCAGTAATCCTCTACAGAAAGTTCCTGCTCCTTACCTATTAGCAGAGCTGTTGTTTATGGCTAAATAAATATTTAGTTACTCTCCAATGAACTTGTTTGTGATACGAAACTGGTCAGTAGTGTTTACTATTTTCAACTGATTCTCAAAAAGCCATTGTACTCTTCTGGGGTGGTTGTAGCTGGTGAAGAAGCAGGCAGCAGTTTCTGCAGGGAAGGGTTCTCAAGGGTCTGCATAGGTTTGCCTGCTGTCTTATTCTGCAGCTCTGTATCTGTGTAGGACGGTGTGCTGAGGACTGTGTTACTGTCTGCCTTTTGTAGAGCAAGAAAGTTTAGCTGCAGAATTGAGATGTATCACTTAGGGAGCTGTGCCTTTGTGTTAATTCCGTCATGAACTTTCCACAAATGGTTTTAAAAAGAGTTAGGAAATACCTCAGTGGAAAATGTGTGAAGGTTTTGTTTTTAGTATAGAAGCTTAAAGCAACAACAACAAAAACTCCCGTGGCTTTTGCTGAGGCACACAGTTCTTTGTAAAAGCTCTCTCAGAAGTAAAGCTTCATCCCATCTTCTGTTGATTTGTTACTTGCAAACAATGCTTGTTGTTAAAGGAAGCCATTAAGTCTACAGAAACCAAGCCTATGCTTCTACAAGTGCGTGGCTGTGGTGGTGAAGGTAGAAGAAGAGGAAACCTAACTTATATTTGGATTACAAAACAGAAGCTTCTGCGCTCCCATTCATTCCCCTATATTTAACTTCAGAAAATCTGCACAGTTTGCAGAAACACTGCCACCTCAAAACCTATTTATTTTACACATGAGCTGCGTTCTGGGTCTGGAGCAATTCTTTCAGTGTAGCAGAAACCTTTTATCTCTATTTACTATTGCTTTCAGCCTTGGTTCTAAGAAACGTTATGTGAATAGTATATGATATGTCATAACTCAACATCGAGTTTGGCTTTTTCAGCTTCTACTTAGAGAGGAAGGGCTGATGGGGTGCCTTTGCTGAGAAAAGGTAAATTAAAATTTATAAACAGAAGTTTTTATCTCAGCCCAGTTTTTGTAGGAACATGCATTTCCCAATGAGCTGATAGGGTGAGCGTTGCTGACTGACTCCGCTGTTACTTTTGCTTGTAGCAGAGCGGCAGGTCTGAGGACTGCGGTGCCTCCAGTCACTGTATTTCTTTCGCTGCCCTGCTAGGCGGGGGCAGTTCTTTTTCAACAGAACTAGAGGTTCATCTTGCTGCAGCAAAGGGAATTACTTCTAAAAGTCAGGCGTTAGGTGAGGGCTCGGCTGGAGGGAGTGTGCAGCACCTGGGCTCGCTCTGCTGCTCCTTGTCCTTGTCTGTGTGCCAGCACTTCCTGTTTGTACGGATTCTGTTTACTGTCTGGGTTCCAAATAGCCTGGGAAGGTGGGAGGATGGGAAGAAGCAGAAAGAAAAGCAAACAGCATTATTTAAGGTGGAATTTTGTATTTCTGTGTGTATATATATGTGCTAGCATTTGTTACTATGCAGCCCAGTGACACGGAAGAGTCTGTCCAGTGCTCTTGATGTTGCTCTGTACTGATTTCAAAAAAAAAAAAGACTTCTGCATACATAAACTGAAATTGAAGCTCTGGGTGTTTGTAGCAAGGAACAGAGAGGTGCTTTTACTTTGCGTTCTCTCTGAAGTTCTTGTAAGGAATGCTTGTCACCCACACAAAATAGATTATTTTTAAAAAGTAAAGGAAAGCCTTATTTCTACTGGTGGTACAAAGTGACTCGTTGCTCTGATTTTTACTGCCTAACTTCAAGGCTTTTGGCTTAAACAGCTCAGAAGAGCATGGGTGCTGCTCCCTGGGCTCCAGCACACAGCTGACCCTGACAGCATGGCTCTGATCCCAGCACTCAGATGGGAGTTCTTCCCATCCCACTGCTCCCCCAGCCATGAAGCAGTGAGTAATAAGTACATGAAGGAAGCATAAAGAGAAGATGCATTGCCTCACTAGTTCTTCACTGTGCTGTATGACTATGAGTCCTCTATAAATACAAGATCCGTTGAGGTAAAGCTAGAAATGGAATTCTTGAATGACTTGTAACTAAAAAGAGTCTTAATTCCAGGCTTTCTTTAACAAAGGAAAAGAAATCTGCCTTAAACTGGAAGAAAATGTTCTAGGACAGATGCTGTGCTCTTGGTATGTCACAGGCTCCCTAGGGAAAAAGCACTGTCATGGTGGGAGTTGCAGAGGTCACCAGCAACTTGCAAATGCTTCTTTCCTGTCATCTTGTTTTCATGGCTCTCAGATAGTGATGCTGTAAACAGTGTGCATGTGTGGCTGGGGGAGGCTGCTCAAGGGGGTATAGAAATAATGTAATGTCAAAACCCTAGGATTTATGAAGGTGTTTTGTTTTTCTTACAGGAAAAAAGAAATAGTAATACTTTGGGCTTTTTTGAAACCAGGCAAATGAAAAAACAACTGTTCATCTTGGGTTTTTTTCTTCTGATATCTGATACTATATCATTCTCAAGTAATTTTTCAGAATGGCCCAGCAATGCTTTGTAGTGAGTTCCTTTTTTTTTCTGGATGATCTCATCATTGGTATTACTTACAGTGTCTGAATGTCACTACAACCAGAACCCAAGGATATTAGATTCAGAAATGAAAAGATAGCTGCATGCAAGAGAACTTTAAAGAAACATCTAATAAAGCCTATCTTCTCATATGTAACTAAACTAAAGCAGAGTCTTAGTGAGATTTCCTCTTCACAGTAGGGAATGACCCTGTATTTCTTCTGTGCTGTAATTCTACAAATACCAGCAGTAATGTTAATTTTTCTAGCTTGGTGTAGAACAATGCAGAGGTGCTGCTTGGGGGTAAGGGGAGAGAAGTAGGTAACTGCAGCTAACATTGATATTGTTGCTTCTCTGTTTCAGAAGGAAACAAAACGCTGGGAAGATGTTTTTGGTTGTTAGATCCCTCTGCATGTTGTTTCCCTTGAGCTGCTGTTTGTGATCAGATAAGAAATTCTGCGTATTTGCGCCTCTTCTGTGGAAGGATCAAGACAAAAATAATACGTAAGAAATTCGCATACGTAAATAACACAGAAGAAATTCACACTCATTTACTTGCATTACATCAGTCTTCTCTTGCTTTCTGTTATGAACAAAGCAGCGCTGCTACTGTGTGTAACAGTGTTGTCAGAGAGGAGTTTCAGACATCTTTGTCTTCCTGGATTTTGGAGAAGTGCCAGCTTGGCAAGCAGGAAGAACAAAAGGACGGGACTGAAAATATCTCGGAGGCAGCCTCACCATCACCACACATCAGGTTGGGACAGCAGCAGAATTAGGCAAGCAGCCCGGCCCAGTTTTCTTCATGGTAAGCACTGGAGTAGCTGTTCTCTAAAGATGAGAATAAAATATTTTGGTCTTGAAAGTTTGAAATTTGGGGAACAAAATGGAATGTAGATTTTTTGGCGTTCTTGAGAATGTTACTTTTGCCACTCAACTTCTTTTTCATGATGTTAGTTTTGGGGATTCCATAGAATCTTTTTTTCTAAAAAAACAAACAGAAAAACTGTGGGGAAATAGCTAAAGCTTTGTTCTTCTACTGGTTTGGAACAGAACATAGAACTCACAACTGTGTAGTAAATTGGAATCTATAAACACAGTTGGATTGTTTAATGAGCAGATTCCTTTTTTTCCTTAGATGACAAAAGGGAAAAAAAAAGTCTAGAAGATGCTTCCAACTGGCAAAGAAATAAAATTTACATACCCATCTTATTGAACAACTTTTTGATACTGATGGTAGTGCAAATTATTATAAAACATTACTGCATCCTGTTTATGACAGCCATGTAATGAGGTTTGTCTTACAATTGGAAAAGCCAGTGGTCTTCAACTGAAGTGTAGAAGTCAGAATGGTTAATTCAGTCTCAAGTACGGACTGATAAAATTGTATTGAGTGTTTAGTCTGCCTTTCTGAATTGATTTTGAAACACTAGCTGATGTTTACAGCAATGCAAAATTATTCAGTCCTCTTTCAGTTACTGGAATGCATATCTTTTTGCATAAGCCTCGCATGTTTTATGCCTTTGATGTGGTGTTTCTGTACAGCTCATTTTTGATTCTTCCCTCTGTATTTGCTAGCTTTTTTATTAGGTGGTACGTAATAGGAGAATTTCCTACTTGCAAAGCCTGAAGAGTAGTACAAGGTGCTGGTGGATGACAGAATAAGTCTCCTAAAGTGAATAAAATGATTTAGATTTTTTTGCTGGACTGGCCCACAGACTTGCATGGTGAGTCTTTATATCTGCTTTGTAAAACATCTTTATATCTGCTTTGTGTTAATGTTAGGTGATGCTCCTCTCTTTAGAGAGCCATTCCACAGGAAATTTACAAAATAGGGAAGAAAATCATGTTAACCATGTTACTTAATAGCCAAATATTGTCATCCACCTGAAGTTAGTAGAATATTTGTGGACAGTCTCTGCAGTGAAAATTAATCTAATCTGTAAAAATCAATGTTCTCCTAGAAAGAAGGCTGTCTGGATTTTCTAATAGAGGAGCTCATGCAAGATCACTTCTCTGTTGTCATTTGCTGTTTTTCATGATGTGGATTCCATTTGTACGGAAGGATAACAGTCCTTTTTAGCATAGAACTGAGACCAGCAGAAGACTCTTGAGAGTCTTCTGACAAAATGCTGTGTGCAAAAATGCTTGCAGTGGAAAAAGCACTGCCAGGGTGTCCTACTGGGCTGTAGATGCACGAGGTTTTTATGTGATAGTGTGCCTGTAACAGCTGCAGTAGGCTCAGATGTCTTTAGGAAAAATATATGGGCATTTTTGACTAGAGTTCATTTGTCCCAAACTAAGTCTGTATATGTTATGAACACAGAACGTGTTATGGTTAGGAACCTCTGTTAACTGGGGTGTGGTACAGCTCTTAGTGAATTTTTCCTCCACTGACCTCCATTCCTCAGAGGGAAGGAATTCTCAGAAGTAGTAGCAGCAAACTTCAGTGTCTGGTAAATATTTTCAGAGTTAACATACTTGTATGTCATGGAGAAGGCATTAGAAAGCTAACTGTAGCCTGCAACTGAATAAAACAGTCAACAGAATGAAGTTCAATTAACTGTGCTGTCTCAGTTCTCCATGATTCATTATTGTGTGGTGGTAAATCCTCACCGTACTGGGGTTCATCTGAAACATATTTTGAAGGCCTGTGTCTTAGAATTCCTTTAACTAAATTTTGTAGTTTCACTTTATCATATAAGAAAATAGATCATATAAATCAGCATGATAAGTGTATCAAGCAAGTATAAGTAAGTATTTTGGGAAATCTGCTGATGAACTTCCCTCTTTCTTCCTCCATATATATTGATTATTTTTGAGTTTTAAAATTCAATCTGTTAGGTTAGTAGCTTAGCAAGGTTAGCGATGGAGAAGATGCTTAACACATCAGGAAGGCGGTAATGAGTTCAAAAGGCTGCAGTCTGATCTGCTGATGCCTTCAAGCTTTTCTTTTCTGACAAAGCTTTTGGCTCAGGAGCAAGGTTTTAGGTATTTTTGGATTGCAGGTGTGGTGCAGTGTTCATTTGAAGTGCTTGCATGGAGCCTTACTTGGATCTAAATAACATCTCTTCAGAATTCTCTGAAAATTATACTTCGACTGTCGAAGAACATAATTGATTCTCTTTATTCCAGGCAGCCTTCCAGATATGGAGTGTACACAGCAATGCAAGCTGCCAACTGTACTTCAAAACTGTTTCTGTTTATGTTTTTGCTTTCCAAATCCAAACCCTGGAGGCGTGCTTACATGCACAAGTGAATGTGCACACAGCGACTACACACAGACCCAGCACGTCTGTTACCCAATTTAAAACAAAAGCTGCTCTTCTGGGGCAGTTGCTCTTAAAGGCAGTGTAGATATTTGGGCTGTCCTTTTTGGTCCATTTTCAAGCTTTTAAAAGAAACTATCTTGAGCTGGCACTTTACTTTATAATCTTTTCAAAAGCCAAAGGTTTACATTTCTTTTGAAAACATGATGTACAGAAGGATTCAACGTGTGCGTGTGTTTCACAGTTTTGCCTGTTTCTTTGTTGGCAATTATTGGTGGGGAGGGAGGGAAGGTTGGCAATGAAACCATCACTTCTGAAGGAGAGTTAGCTCAGCACTGCTGCAGTAGTGCTTTCTGCCCTGTATAGATCCCGGTGTTCACCTCTGTCTCTCAGTAAGGCAGTTCAAACAGTGGAAACTAAACCAAGAGGGGCAGAGTGAGTAGTTCTTCGCCATTTTAATCCAGCTGAGCCTGCAAAGAGCTGGCTTGGGGAGTGTGGGTGCCAGCATGATGTAGAATGAGAACACCTGCCTTGGGCAGCGAGAAGATGGGCCCTCGTGACCATCAGCTCAGAAAGGCCCAACCAGGGTTGTGGCACCAAACTTAAAAGACTGCTGGTAGAAACTCAGCCTGTGTTGTGAATACTTAACTTGATTGTGGTCCTCCTATATTATTGTTGTTTGTGTATGTGGACAGAAAAGTTCTTACGACTGCATATTCTGGCTTGGTATTTTAATGCTGCTATATACCTTAACAGTAATGTGCTTTTTATCTATGCTTGTAATTAAGAAGTGTAGATAAAAACATGTTATTTTAGATAGTGTCTTGCTTATGCTTTACCTTATTAAAAAAACAAGATGCCATTGAACCTTCTCAGTATTTCTTTTTATTTGTAGGCTGAGTTAGCAGTAATTCATGGTTTTTCAAGTTGCTCTGAATGGTTCTATCAGGGTTCATTTGTAATGTTTTGTCATTGAAAGCTTTCCTGGTTTGACTCTTCAAATACACTGTGAGTGTGCTTAGAACTTTCCATTTCAGCATCTGCTTTGCTGAGACCATTACAATGACAAGGAAAACAGCTCCTTTAAGCTGCTTTTCAAAAAGAAGTCAGTAGCATAGTCCCTTAGTCCTTTTAAATACGTATGAAGTGTTAGTGGAAAAGCATTTTTCTAAACCTGCAGTGTCCCTTTAGTATGCTTTGCTGATAATTTTAAAAGTCCAAACTGCAACTACAAAGGAGGGGAAGGAAGGAAAAAGAAACCCTATTCCTGCTGAGTGTTACTTAGGAAGCAGTGCATTTGGGAAAATATTCTTGTTCTTCTGTATCTTAAGAACTGCAGTGTGGTAAAAGTGGCCATAATTCAGGAGAAAACACTTCAGAAAAGTAGTACTGAAGAATAGGGGGATTGTGATTATTTTTTATGTAAGTATGTGCATAGCATGTGGCTTTTGGAATAACAGCCTAGTAGTTTCCTAGCCCTGTGCTGTCAGGACTCTTGGCTAAGGGAGGGAGCATAATGGACTGTTATTTAGGAGTCTGGTATTGCCTTTTCTTATGAGGAATTTTTCATAACACAAATGCTGAATTTAATGAGATTATTAGTAATGCACTGTTTGAGATCTGAGTAACATATGATGACCTCGAAGTATATGTCTGTGACTGTAAGAAATGTTTGAAAAGCTTTGATCTGAAATTCATTCTGATGCTTGTATTTAAAATACTAATGTTTAAATCTCTGATTTTTATGTAGGTTTAACTCATACGAATCACTGCTTGAAAAACTTCAAGTACAAAATTATTGAAAGGCTTAAAAATGCCTCCCCGACCATCATCTGGTGAACTATGGGGCATCCACTTGATGCCCCCGAGGATCCTTGTGGAGTGTCTTCTCCCAAACGGAATGATAGTGACTCTAGAATGCCTCCGTGAGGCTACATTACTAACTATCAAACATGAACTTTTTAAAGAAGCCAGAAAATACCCTCTCTATCAGCTCCTTCAAGATGAATCTTCTTACATTTTTGTAAGTGTTACGCAAGAAGCAGAAAGAGAAGAATTTTTTGATGAAACACGGAGACTTTGTGACCTGCGGCTATTTCAGCCTTTCCTAAAAGTCATTGAACCAGTAGGTAACAGAGAAGAAAAGATACTTAACAGAGAAATAGGTGAGATTATCTGTATTTAAACATGGCTAATCTGCTTAACTGGCTTCTCCTCTTCGAAATAGAAAACTGGAATCAATGTGCTGTATTTGTTACCTTTTGCTCCGTCTATCAAATGTTACATTTCAGAGTTGTTGCACCAAATGTCCCAACGTGTTGATCATAGTTAAGCCAATATTTGTAAACTATTCTTTATTTCATTCACACATGTATATTTATATATATACAATTGTATATAGGTTAGTAGTGCATATTTTTGGTAGTCACCAGTTAACAGGATTTCATATTAGTACAGAGCAAAGCCTTTTTGTACTTGTTTTATTTGGGAAGCAGATCTTGATTTGTTTTGAATTCTACAGAACAGTGGTAACTAAGGAAAGGTACACGAGGGTTCAATTGCAAATATTTAGCTACGTTTGTGGTGGTACAGTTTTTAATACTGCTTTGTCTTGCTTAGAGTGCAAAATCTGAGAAACAAGGTGTTTTTCTTTCCCCCTTCCCTTTCAGACAGAGCATTAGTAGCTGTGGGAAGGGTCATGATAAAAACACCTGAGTATATTGTTTTGAATCATCTCTGGGGAAGCCCAGAACTTTTCCATTATCCAGGAGGCACAGGAAAGCTAGCATGTGTTTTGGTATCTAGGTTAAGTATCTACATTCAGTTAGTGCAAGGATGCTGTCTTTCTTAGTTTCTAACAGGTGTATGCTGCAGTGGTGGAGACTTATCAACTGGAAATACTCGTTCTGGGGTGCTCCTAATTGTTAAATCATTTAATAGTTGTAAATGCATCATGGGTAGATTTCTGTTTTGTGAAACATAGCCTGGTCAGAACTCAGGGAGAGTAGTGGCTACCTGACTGTGTGTGGAGATAAAAGTGAAAGTTTTCAAATTTGAGCATTCATGCATGAATCATTCATTAGGAATGTAATCTAATGAAAACAAATGTAGTTAGACTTGAGACTGAAGAGTTGAGAGGAATAGGCAAATCTTTGCCCAAGAGTTAAGTTCATTATTTCTTAGGCTGCTATGGGAGCTCACAAAAACATGTGAAGACCTGTCATTGAGTTGTAAGCAAAGCTGATTATGGCTCTAATAGTTATCAATGATCCTGTCAGAGTTTTAGAGAAAATCAGGCACCACAGCTCTTGTGGTCCACTCAAAAAACTTTATTTGCTGACTTCAAAAAAGTTGATTACTGATTCTTTTCCTCCCTGAGAGTTATTAGCAATGAAAGTAGTAATTTGAGGTTTGCAGGATTTTCAGTGAAAATGTATCAGGCTTCTAACCTTTTTTGTGATTATTGCTTTGTTCTTGAATGACATAAAAACAATTTGTATATGAAGTGGAAGCCAGTGGTTAACACAAATATTGTAGGTTGTATTTTGCTTTAAATGTATTTTTTTCAAGCAGTGGTAGAAGGAATCTTTAGTTTAATTTAGTTATCTGTTGTAATTATTTTTCCATGCTTCTGCAACATTGTAGGTTTTGCAATTGGCATGCCCATCTGTGAGTTTGACATGGTTAAGGATCCTGAAGTACAAGATTTCAGAAGAAATATTCTTAATGTTTGTAAAGAAGCAGTAGATCTTCGAGATGCCAATGCTCCGCACAGTAGAGCATTGTATGTCTGTCCTCCAAATGTAGAGTCTTCACCTGAGCTACCCAAACACATATACAATAAACTAGATAAAGGTAAGATAAATATTTACTGTAGGCACAATATTTTTCTGTGATTGAGATTAAAAAAAAACACAACTGGTGACTTAAGCAAATCACTGATTTATGTAGTATATCTGATACACTGCAGCATAACCCTGAGCTGTTCAGAAAAAGTTGCTTAATAGAATGTAGGTTCAAAAGGCGAGCAGCAAAACTTTAAAATTACTTTTTTGCTATTCTAGTAAATTCATGGAACAGTTACTACTGTTTTCTTGAAGGCTGAATGTTTGATACGGAGGTTGGTGGCCCTGCCTGTAGTAATGGGGTTGCAGGTTGATTGTCCCTGAGGTCCCTTCCAACCCAAGCCATTTTATGATTGTGATTCTATGAATTGTCAGTAGTATTTGATGTATAACATTCTTAATCCCAAGGTGTAAAAGTTTGAATTTACACTTGAATCATAAATAAGCTTAGGGCATCTAGTTCCTCGCAGAAGTTATCAATCTTCTGTTGGATTGGGCTATGAATCTTGTTTTTGTCATCTTGTAGTAGTAATTCTATGTGGCTTTGTTTCTTTAGGGTGTGAAGGGGTGATGGTTTGCTGAAAATGATAGGCCTAACATTTCCTATTTATTTTAGGGCAAATAATAGTGGTGATATGGGTAATAGTTTCACCTAACAATGATAAGCAGAAGTACACCTTAAAAATCAATCATGACTGTGTGCCTGAGCAAGTTATTGCTGAAGCAATTAGGAAGAAAACACGAAGTATGTTGCTGTCATCTGAACAACTGAAGCTCTGCGTGTTGGAGTACCAGGGCAAGTATATTTTGAAAGTGTGCGGCTGTGATGAATACCTGCTAGAAAAATATCCTCTGAGCCAGTATAAGGTGAGTAACATAATGAACTCATTTTAAAGTACACTGAAAAAATCCTAATGTGTGTGGGAGAAAAGTGATCAGTCTCATTATATATAGTCAAAAACAAAGAAAGTAAAAATCTGTTTCTTTAGGGTAATTGGCTTATATGTATCTGACTCAAGAGTGTATTTGTTGCTGTATGTGCTTCAGTATGTGGCCAGGGAAGGTAATTTAAAGTAGAATTTATGTCATTCACTCAACTTTAAAAAAAAAATGCAGTAGCAGTTTTGCTCTAACGTGAGCAATAAATCAGTGGTAGGTTCTCTGAGAAGTATACTACATTTCTGATGGCAAGAGATGAATAACATTTGAATGGGGCTGATGCAATGCAAAAAGAAATTAAATTGGATGTTGAGTTATGAGGCAACAATTACTCTGTGAATCTTCTCCCTCCCTGCTTTAGGGGTTGGGGAAAAAAATAAGCAAGTTCTCTTGGCTTACTGTTGATTACATCAGTAAACTTCTTGATCTTATGAAAGGGGAGTGGTAAACTTCCAGTACCATATTTATCAGTTAAATCTTCCTTGTTGCTACCCATCCTTCAGTGTCTTTGTTCTCTTAGTGTTGTACCTGTAGCAGAACTGGCAGAAGAGCCTGAGAGCAGTCCTTTCTGAAGTAGACAATGTTACCCTGTGTATTTCCTGACAGACTGCTGTTGCTATCTCTCTGAGAAACCTGCTGTTGTAATAACAGCTCCCATTCCCCTATCTAAAATGGTTGACAGTCTGCTCTTCAGAGCTATGGAGGAGATAAGGGGGATGGGGGATCCTGATACTGGGAAAAGGAACTTAATATTATGCAAGCTGGGGAAGAAGTGCAGGCATATGTGACTAATTTTGTGCAGTCATGAGATCAAACACTAGGCCTATTTGATCTAGTGTGGCTGCTTCAAAAGTATCTGGTATGCCTTTCTGTGCCACGGAAGAGCTTACTAATTACAGTCCAGAGCTGACCCTATCTTAACGCTTTGTAGTACTGTTGCCAAATGAAATACTTTCAGCAGTCACTCCTGAGCAGACACAATACAGGCTTGAGTGTGGCAAGATCAGTGTAAAGAGGTAAAGCTGAAAAGTTTCTGAACAAAAAATGAACAGTTCTGCATGTTCCCTGTTCTTTTTCTAACTGTGGCTAGGAGTGTTAGAGGCACATGTGCTAGGTTGGTACAGTACATTATAACTGCAGTATGGAAGGCAGAAGAAAGATAGCCAACCTGCTTCTGGGAACATCCCTAATCTGGAACTGTTCTCTGCACTGTGCCTGAGCTTAAGAGCCCTACGAGACACTTGTCTTTGCCAGCTCTGTTCTGTATCTGCAGTTATGCTTTCAACTGTTGTAGGCATCGTTCATACCTCCAAAAATCTGTTTGAAGTACTGCTGTGCCATTTTACCCCATCATGTATTTAAACTGTTGAATGTTGCAATGAAAAACACTGAAGGATTTACGTAAAGGAACAGACCTGAGCTCTTTAAGTATGCTTTTATTTTTATGTTATTCTGAATGCTTTTAGGTAGTGATTACCAGGAGCATGCGCTTAGAAAATATACTGAATTTTGGTTTTGTTTTCTTACAGTACATAAGAAGTTGTATAATGCTTGGTCGCATGCCCAATCTGATGCTGATGGCTAAAGAAAGTCTATATACCCAGCTGCCACTGGATACCTTTACAATGCCATCTTACTCCAGGCGTATCTCTACAGCTACACCCTACATGAATGGAGAAGCTACAGCCAAATCGCTCTGGACTATAAACAGTGCTCTCAGAATAAGAATCCTCTGTGCAACCTATGTAAATGTGAACATTAGAGACATTGACAAGGTAAGGCAAATGCTGTATAGCATTATATGTAGCTTTTGACACACACGGTTTCTCTCTTTTCCATAATTACATTAGAAAAGAGGTGTTATTTCTAATGCTAGAAGATTAGACCACTTTGTTATTTAAATTTCAGCCCTCTATTCTGAAAAACAGAGCCGTGTTCTAAAATGCACATGTTTTTGTATACTTCTGAAAAATGCATGGATCATGGTATACAGCTAAAGGAGTGCTCTAGTTTATTTCAGCTGAGTTCATAACAGATGTGCTATCTTCCACATTTTAAACTATGAACATATTCAAGCATATTGTACAGTAAGTGAGAATACATCTGATGAGAAGATGCTGGATAGCATGCTGATAGCTTTGTTCTTAGAAGGGGAGGTATGAGAAGATCAGTGAGAAAAGGCGTGTGCAGCTTAGTCCTGCTGAAGTCATATGGCAAGTCTCTACCTCACCCAGAATTTATTTGTTTTTTTTTTCTTTCTGTGGTTTGGCTCATAAAGAATTCGTCATTCCAATTTGTTTTTAGAAGTTCCTTTCAAGTTCATTAGTGTATTTTTAAGAAGTACTTCTACAACAGTAGTGAGGAAAAAGATCAAAACTTTTTTTTTTTTCCATAGGAGTATATTTACTTACTTGAAGAGCATGAATAAATTTGGGTTGAGGAGTGGTGGTGAAACTGTTTTTATTTGTTTGTTGAGGTGAAGTATTGATGAGTGTTTTCTTAAATAGAAAGGAGAAAGCAATGTATTGTAATCATACTGTATGTTGATAGGAATGAAAACTTTGTTTATAGTGGAGTTTCAAAAATAGAACTGATATTAACATTACTTTCAGATCTACGTTAGAACAGGTATCTACCATGGAGGAGAACCTTTATGTGACAATGTGAACACTCAGAGGGTACCTTGTTCTAATCCCAGGTAAGATACTAGAAAAACTGTAGAGAACCTGACTTTTGGGGCACTATGAATTATAGTATTGAAGAAGTGAAGGCACTGCGTAACATTATTCAGGTATATCTCATTGCTGACAATACTTTAGCTGAAGAACATTTATAGTCCCTGTATTGACCAGGTCTGTTTTACATAAACATTCATGATTGCCTCTGAAACTCCTATGTAATTACTGTTTAGTACCATGAAATCAGCATAGCTCTGGGCAGTCTAGCTCTGTTTTTCACTTTGGATCTACAGCTGGTGTTCCAGTTGCAGGTTCAGATTCCAACATCAGCAAGAGGCCATGTGATGTAATGCAATCCACACATTTGTTCCAGTGCGGTTGCAGAGCATGTGCTAAAGCAGAAGCACTGATGGGAATCATTTGGTAATGTGAAAGTGACTGCCAGGTTTGGGCTGATTGTTTCCAGAAGATTTGACCTGCTGTGAATTTTATCATAAAAAATAATAATAAATAAATCCCATGAACTTTAAAGTGCTATTAGTGTGCAAAAAGAAGCTTTATATGAGTGTATGTAAGCATACAGAGAGCAAATATTTAAGAGATTGAATTTTTGCCTGTAACTCTGAATAAAGAGGTGTGAAATGTTAGCATCCACTAGGATTAGATGTGATATGTGTGTTCAAAAATAAGTTCTGACTTGCATTTTCTGTCTGCCTTCAAGTCTTTGGAGGTTTCAGAGTGTTTTCTGTAAATATGATTAGGTATTAACATTAGAGGGCACAATGATACATGCAGGTTTTTAGAAAAAATAGCTTAATCCTCCTGCTTATCCCACAGATGGTTAAACTTCTTGTTCGAGCATAGCTTAGCTGTTTTTGAGGGAGAATGTTATGGGAAAGATGGTCAAGGACATGGTTGGAAAACATGGATGCTGTTAAACACAGATACATAATATTTGAAAGTAACACGTAAGAAAAAATTAATGGTGTCCTTGGAAGCTGCTGCTACTTCCAACTGAGAAAATAACTGTATTTAGCACTTCAAAAGCACAGTTGTGCATGTTGAGGGAGAAGTCCTTCTTCTTTAAGAAGTTTCTTCTTAAAGAACTTCTTTAAGAAGTTCATGAACATATATTCCTCTAGAACTAATCTCTGCTCTTATTGCTATGATAAATAGAGTGATATCTGAGTTATTTCAACAGTCTTATCATAGAACTACAGAGCCAAGAGCAGAATGAAAGCACTAGTTTGATTATTCATGTTCAAACTACTACATAACGATGGAGGGACTGTATGGTAATGAAGTAGGAGAAACAGTGACTGTACCAGGCTCTGGAGTGCTTAAGCAATAAGTGCAGTGAAAAAATGCTTATTTCCTTCTATGGAGTACTGTTTTGCTAATGCATTACAAGCTTGTGGGATAGCAAACCTGTCATTATGTAAAAAGGATTTGAGGAAACCTTTACTTTCACAACTAAATGAGACTGTATTCCAATTAGTGATACAATAGGCAGTCATTTAAAGCGGTAACATGTTTGTCTGCTGTGATTTTGCAGTTCCTTGCATTTTGACTGCTAATTGCTTCCTGTTGCATTTATTTACCATTTTAAAAGCAACATAGTTAATACAGTCAAGTAGAATTAAGCAAGCTTTTGGAAAGAGTCCAAATTGCTGCTAGCAGTTTTGGTTTTCCTTTCTTTATGCAGCTATGGCAGTGTTGTTTTGTATCACTGTTGCTGAGGAATGTCATCCATATATTCAACAATTCCCCTTAAATTTAGGAAAGTGTTAGCAATGTGTCATTTTATTGCTTAGCTCTGTAAATTGCAGTTCTAAAACATTTTTCTACAGTCAAGTTCTAATTATACCAAGCATAATATATTAGCAAAAATAAAATTGTTATTCTCTATAGTGTTTATTGTGCACAAGAGAAATGTGGCCAGACATCAGAAATATTAGATTTCTGTTACATTTTATCTTGTTTTTTACTTTTAGGAATTAACAGTATTATTTTTAGGGATATAACATTGTTTTCAGTATAACAGTTGATTGCATGCAGTTGTCTAACACAGTGTCTTTTAGCTGGTTTTAATCTGCTTTTTAAATGTTGCAGATGGAATGAATGGCTGCTGTATGACATGTACATTCCTGATCTTCCACGTGCTGCTCGGCTCTGCCTTTCTATCTGTTCTGTTAAAGGCCGGAAGGGTGCTAAAGAGGTAAAGTGCTTCATAGCTTTAGTAAACTATCAAGCAGAGGTTATGCAAAGTTTGGGAAGATATTTGGCAATTGCTGTTCTGGTAATTAGTCTCAATGCAATGTTTGATTTGAATCTGATTAAAATAGGGATTTTTCTTATGTATCATTCATTTGTCAGTGTTATTTTAAACCACAAAAAGAAGCTTGCCCATTCAACACTAAATCATATCAGTACTGTGTTGCTGGCTGGAAAACTCAGTGGTAGTCTTTTGAGGTCTGAATACATAGGAAGAAAATACAACTTCTGTGACTTTCATTCTGCTAATCTGGAAATGTAACAAGTTGCTCTTAGATAAGAATGTTGTTTCTTGTGACTCACAATCAGAGATTTGATGTCAGAGATCAATTTCAGTGGTTCCACAACAATGAAGTGGTGTGCTAGATATGTGGCTTATCAGACAAAAGTGGACCTGAACAAGTGTTGCCAAAAGAAACAGAAAGCAATTTCTGATATAACGATACTTCTTTAGTTGTTTGCTTACTGCCAGCTTCAATTGCCCAAGCAAAGTGGTATTCATGTTAGCAAGGTTATGCACTTCAGTGTTTTCTGAAGTCCAGTTTCTGTTTCTGTCCTTCCCCATCCTAAACTGCTTGAAGTAGCAAAGGAGTCCACTCAAAGCATGCCGTTCGTTGTTAACGTAATTTTATCTTTTTTACTTGACCTGCTGGTTTACTATCAGCTAGAATTTACAGGTGTGGAAAGCAGCCTGCTGTTTATTTTACGATAGATCAGAATAACTTGGTTTTGATAACATCTCTCTACTGCACAGATGGAAATAAGAAATATTTGGTTGGGAGGGACCTAGTAAGTACTTAAAGCTGTGGTGAATCCCTATTTTTTTTTAATGTTTCTTTTTTGAAAATGTATATCCGATAATTAAAAGTTGAAACTGAAAAATCGCCTTTTAACCTCTTTAAGGAGCACTGTCCATTGGCTTGGGGAAATATAAACATGTTTGACTACACAGACACTCTTGTATCTGGGAAAATGGCTTTGAATCTTTGGGCAGTACCCCATGGACTGGAGGATTTGTTGAATCCTATTGGTGTTACTGGATCAAATCCGAATAAGGTAAGTATGTGCACGTGAACTGCCTCCTCAAGAATGAATGTGTATTCAAAATATGCTATATTCTAGTTAGTATAATTCAACAGAAGTAATCTAAATTCCCTTTACATAGGAAACTCCATGTTTAGAGCTGGAATTTGATTGGTTTAGCAATCCTGTGAAGTTTCCAGATATGACAGTGATTGAAGAGCATGCCAATTGGACAATCTCACGTGAACTAGGCTTTAATTACAGCTATGCGGGACTGGTAAGAAGAACTTGCTTTCCAAGAATAGTTACTAAAATATCAAAGTATTTGCTGCCTTTTTTTCCACAGTATGCTAGTGATAGATTATCTTAATCTATTACAGACCAGCACTTAGAAGAGAAACTGTCTTACCATGCTAACTGTAAGCATGTTTTTGGTATATTTAAATAATTGATTCAGGTGTCTGAAGTACTCAGTTTAACTTCAGAAAAGTTGTAATTTTCATTCATCGGTACTGTTTTCTTCATTGCAATTTCATTTTTTGTAGGCTCATCTGCAGAAAATTCTTTCATTACTCATCCTTTCCCAATTCTTAAATGTTTGGTAGGTTTGAACTGTACTGTGATTGTTCCCTTTAAATTTGTGGTATCTTCAGGTTTGAGGGCCCAGGCTTTCTATATTCAAGTATTGTGTGTTTTTATGGCTACTCTTAGCACTCCCTTTAGTTAGGGAGGTAAGAGGCAATACAGTATATATTTCAAATCGGATACTAGAGTACCAAGCATTGCCCAGCCTTACCTGAAAGCTGCAGAATGCTCGCTTGAAACGGTCAAAATTAGCCAAGCAGTCACTGAAGTATGATTTCTATATAGATGTTTGTGATAATGCAGAGAATATAACTATACTTTTTGGTTACCATGAAGTGCATTATACTGCATTTAAAATCAATTACTGCACTCTGCATAAGGCGTAATTTATATAAGTTCATTATTACTTTGGACATGAAACAATTTTCAAATATTAAATCTAATTTACTGTCCCACAACTCTAAAATTTCAAGTTTCTGATGTTGACTGCAACAGGGTAAATTTTTCTTCTTGATTTGACTTAAACTATGATCTTTCTGACCCATTATGCAAGTACATTTTATACTTTTGTGACTTTCTCTTACGATTTAGGGTAATTCAAAATCAAGATGCATATGAACAATTAATTCCTTGCTCTGTATCATCAATTTGATCAAGTGTTGGGGTGCTTCTAAAGTCATCTATCCATTCACTTCCTTACTGAATGTCTCTAGCTTTGCTACTTGCACTGCATATGTAAACATATTTTAGAATACGTTCTGGAAACTTCCATGTGGCAACAGAGCAGTCTTGAATCCCTCTTTTTTTTTTTTTTTTTTTTTTTGAGTCCTGTCCATGTGCTTCAGAATGCTAATAAATGAGCATGTTGGTGCACTGAGATGCCAGCTATCACAGTGCTAGCAGGTAAAGGTGCTAAAAGCTCTGAAGTAATAGCGTTAGATGGAAGCTTGAAGGCAGGAATATTTTTGTCCTGTGTGATAGGACTGAACACGTCACGAGAACGTGAATATAGAGAACTGAGTCTGTAGCATATGCCATGTTGCCATAATCTGACAACTGTTGCTGTATTGCTTGTATTCTTAGAAATAATACACTTTACCTCTTAAGAGGTGCCTTGACCTCTTGTCTGAAAACTTCAGATTGTTCCTTTCTTCAGTTTCTCTTTGGTGTTTATTTGACTTTCTATAAAAGCCAGGCAGATGGCTCTTTTCCAAAGTACCAGTTCAGTCAGCTGAAAATCACCATCAATAAAACTAGCTGAGAAAGCCCAGCTCATTCTTGCTTTGTATATTTTTAGTGGAAATAAGAAAAATGTAGAACAGGAAATCATTACTGTTTTGTTTTTCTCTCTATTCTTGAAGCATTCTACAGTTCAGACATTTTGAACATTAATAAAATTGATTGTTCTTCCTTTTTTCTTTTTTTTTTTTTTTTTTTGTAGAAGTCAGTATTGTACACAAGTCAAAATGAGTTCATTTTAATAACATTGTTCAATCTACATATAATTTTTGGAAAATTTTTGGATACTTCATCTTAAGTGTCAGACTTGTTTGTTACAGTTTTATTATTTATAAACACAGTAATGCAGCCTAAGTTTTTTTTCCCTTTTAATTGATTCTGTCATGGAGATGTTAGAGATTGCATCATTTCAACGTTGCTTTGCAAAAAACAAATATGAAGTAAGAAATAGGAGATATAGAAGAAAACTGAACTTGGCTATGAAATATTTAAGCTGTAGTATCAATATCTCTGTCATTGGTCTTAGCTGGTTCTAGTAGGAAGTCTTAGTACATGCTGAAATGAATTTTAGCTAGTTCTGCTCTTTAGGGAGTATTTTACACTAGTTCTGGCTAATGTTTTCTGGTCATTCTGTTATGCAAGCTTTCCTACAGTGTTCTACCTTTACTTACCTAGCCTCACCCTCCTGTACTCTGCTTTTTCAATTCTGATTCTTTCAGCCCATTCAGCAGTTCTTAGAAATCTCAAAACTGGAGACAGAAGTGACCTGTTTCATTTTGTGCCATGCTAGGCTGCTGTTGTTCATCACATGCCAACTACTATTTCTCCACAAAGCTGACTGGTGAACTGTACTTCCTGTCCCAGCAGTGAATAAAAGCAGTTATAGAAAATCAAAGGCCTAGTCTTCAATTTCTCTGTTTTAAGCTTCTAAGTCCTCACTTATGGTAGAAGGAAACAACAAAGTGGTATTATGTGTCGTATAAATGTTCCTGCGCTGTAAGAGTACTTCTACGTTGTATGACTGTAGAATGAGGAGGGTTAATGGACCACTTTCTCTCTGCAGAGTAATAGAATAGCTAGAGACAATGAATTAAGAGAAAGTGACAAGGAGCAACTGCGAGCCATATGTACACGGGATCCCTTGTCTGAAATCACTGAGCAAGAGAAGGACTTCCTCTGGAGCCACAGGTACTGAGGAAAAACAAAAGCGAATGCACAAAACAAAAATGACACTTTGTACAAACAACCTTCATTCTCTTTTTCAGACACTATTGCGTAAATACCCCGGAAATTCTGCCCAAATTACTTCTGTCTGTTAAATGGAATTCTAGAGATGAAGTGGCTCAGGTAACAAACGAATGTCACTGAAGAAGTTTTAAGTTCTGAAGAAGCTTTAAAATCTGGATTTTTTTTGTAAAATAACAGAAGTTCTTATGATATGTTGAATGAAAGCAGATAATTTGAGTTGCTGCTTTAACTAGTTGATCGTTTTGTATTTGCTGTATGCAATCCATTTGTCTGTTCCAGGAAAGGTTTTGTGTTCTCATTCTTAAGTTCAGTCTGAGTCTTAGCTTTTTTCTGGTGGCATTACTTGAATCCTTGCTATGATGCTGAGTATTATTTCAATGTGATATTTTGTTTTTGTTCTTTTAGAGTGGATAAAATAAGTCAACTGGCACTAATACCAAACTATTTTTTAGAAGTGAATGACAAACAGCTTATATTCAGCAGCAGCTTGTGTGGTTATACTTTCTATTGGGTGTGTATTGCAACGTCTTCCTCTTCAATGTGAGTGTGTATAATGTCCTTGGACTTCATTGTCCACAGATGTACTGTCTGGTGAAAGATTGGCCTCCAATCAAGCCAGAGCAAGCAATGGAGCTTTTGGATTGCAATTATCCAGATCCAATGGTGCGAGCCTTTGCAGTTCGGTGTCTAGAGAAGTACTTAACAGATGACAAGCTGTCTCAGTACTTAATCCAGCTAGTACAGGTATGTAACGTTTTGGTATTCTCGATGTCTTATGTACATTTGATAATTACGCAAATTTAAAATACAAGAAAAGTTAAGTCATTGTGGAAAATATAAGAATCCTGTTTTCAGTGCAAATTACATTAGGAGGAGCTCTGAAAGATGAAAGTTACTTTTCTGTTGTGCTCTGGTTTCTGGTGTTGGTATGAAATGTCAAAATTCTGCAGAGATGCAGAACTGTTCTACCAACTGGAGCAGGCAACTGTTTCAGCTGTCTTGCATATGGTGACACACAAACAGAAGCATCTTTTCTACAATGTTAAGCATGCTGAAGCTAAAATATTTGGTAACAGTATGGGAAGCATCAGATGGTAAGTTTTTGAAATAAAAGCAGTCTGTGCACTCTGTTAGCAGATATTCTTTAAATGCTAATGTGTGTATTAAAATACCAAGGTCAAGCAGCCTACAAAATTTTTATATCAAACTTGAATTGTGTTTTATTTAACTGTCTTAATTTATATGCTGTTCAGCAAAAATAACTGCAGCTAATTTTCTTCCAAATTTTCTTTGTCCTTAACTAGGTTCTGAAATATGAACAGTACTTAGATAATCAACTGGTGAGATTTTTACTCAAGAAGGCACTGACCAATCAACGGATAGGACACTTCTTCTTCTGGCATTTAAAGTAAGCTTAATAAATCTTGAGTAGTGACAAGATTCCTACAAGCTTTAAAAAAAAAAAAAAAAGTTCCATATGCTACATGCTTTTCTTTTGGGAAATATTACCACTCTACAATTAAAAAGCAAACTTTATTTTAAGAGTTTGAATGCATAGTTTGATAATAGAATGCATTCCTTGCAGTTTTTAAAGCAAATTAGTAATAGATTATGAATCTTTATATCATCTGCTTCATTTTGATTCTTTCCTCTAATAGCAGTTACTCTAAAAGCAGGGGTCTGGATGGCTAAGATGGCTGGAAGCTTCCTGTATTATTAGCTGCTTACAACTTATAACAGATCTCTGTTCTAGAACCTTCCACCAGTCTTTCTGAGCAGTTTTTTTCCAAAACTGAGCTACTTCTGAAGTTAAGCCAGAAAGCCATGGAAAAATGTTCCTGAAAAATCCCTATCTCTGCAGACTTGTCTTTAGAAGGCTGTAACATCTTTGTGCATTTACAAATAGCTGAGGCCCAAAGCAAGTCACACAACTAGACCAGATAAACCTTTGAAAAATTATGGTTCGTAAATTCTTATAAAGACCACAGAGATTGATAGCCAAAATATCCCTGTTCTTCTGTATTAAGTATAGCATGGGTTCTCATAAGTTCTATTGTTGAGAAGGCTGAATATAACTCAGATTTCAGCATTCTGAGTTGTATCCAGATCTCATCTGAAAATGCTGTCCTAAGATGAAACACTGAAGATAAGACATAGAAATAAGAAATCTTTGTTTTCTACCTGTTTTAATAATGACCAAGGATAATGGAATATCTTGGCTGACTAATTTATATGAGGGGATGTAGAATTATGTGAAGTTTGAGAGTAGTTAAGAACAAAGTAACTAGCCTGGGATTAATGACAGAAGGAGAAGATTAAACTGCTTAGAAAGCTGGAACTTGAAGTGAAACTGGAGGCTTAGTGGTTGGTTGGTTTGGTTTTTTTTGACAAGCATGGATTTTGAATAAAGTTCACAGAGAAGGACAGGATGTAGCAAGAAGGGGAATGGGGTCAAGAGAAAAGGAAGAGTGAAAACTGTTGGGTTAGTTGTAAAAAGTAAGGAACTCTGCTGATCAGTTACGTCAAAATGAGATGAGCTGTGGGAGGCCAACACAAGTTACGTAACTGGGAAGGACCCATAGGCAGCCTTCAGAAAGGTGTTACAGTACAGTTTCATTTTTTGGCACCTGTAAGTGGTCTTGTCTTAAAGCTGTAACTGTTCTTCCTCTCTGTGTAGGTCTGAAATGCACAATAAAACTGTAAGTCAGAGGTTTGGTTTACTTCTGGAGTCCTATTGTCGAGCGTGTGGAATGTACCTAAAGCATCTGAGCAGGCAGGTGGAGGCTATGGAGAAGTTGATTAACCTCACAGATATTCTCAAGCAGGAAAAGAAAGATGAGACCCAGAAGGTATTTTAAGCTGTCCACACATCAAAACTTTTGTGACTTAGTCGTAGGAATCACTAGAACTATTTTACTGGATTAATTAGAAAAGTATTTATACTACTAACTTCGGTAGGTAGTATCTTTGAAGCTGTAGTATTTTGTGTGCACCTTGCTATTGTCTGTCTCTTAAGCTAATGGAACCTGAGTTGAGAGCTTTTATTTGTGTAACCTGTGGCAAAGCAGAGTTGCTGATAGTGGAATTGTGCAAAACCATGCTTAAGACAAAAGCTGAAACCTGATTCTTATCTTCTACATTTAGTCAGTGTTCTTACAATCTGAATGTAATTTTTTTTAGGTGCAGATGAAGTTTCTTGTTGAACAAATGAGACGTCCAGATTTTATGGATGCTTTACAAGGCTTTATCTCTCCTCTTAATCCTGCTCATCAACTAGGAAATCTTCGGTATTGTCTTCAGTTCTGAAATGTACCCAGATAACTAAGTAAATGCTTAGTAAGGTTAACATCAACAACATTACAGTTAAATGCTAACATACTAAATAGTGGGTTTATTTAAGTGAAGTAGTTTCAGTGCAATGATGTAATAAATTAGAGAACATGATAGCTTGATGTTCCTGTTAGATGGTAGGAACTGTGGCCCTTTTTCCATGTGTAAGGAACACTTGCTGCCAAAGGAAAAATGAGTGTAGCTAACTCTTCACTTGTGTCTAGCCAATGATTAGCACTGCAGTTACTAATATAAATTTCAAGATGAAAACAGTGGTAGATCTTCAGTTCTCCGTGCATTACTTAATTTGATACCAGTTCAAATATTTTGAAGAAAATGGAGATTGTAATATCATGGAAACACAATATGAGAATCTAAATATCCTTATTTCATATATATCTTTTTTTATAGGCTTGAGGAGTGCAGAATAATGTCATCTGCAAAGAGACCCCTGTGGTTAAACTGGGAAAACCCAGATATTATGTCTGAATTGCTATTTCAGAACAATGAGATAATCTTTAAAAATGGAGATGGTAAGGGTCACACGACAATTCCATTGTTATGTTTTAATATGTATTTTTAAACAGCTTTAAAATTGCCACCACAAGTTCATGTTCATTCTCACCTACCTACCAGCCATTCTTTTCTTGAGAGAATAAAACCTCCATTCATCTATATGAATTTTATTACACTTTACTATTATTACACTTTACCACTCAAAAGTGGTTATTTCTAAAAGAAATAAGATGTGGCAGTATCCTGTGTTATGAAACTTGCTGTCTTATCTATTTGATTATTCTAGACTTACGTCAAGACATGCTGACACTTCAGATAATTAGAATTATGGAAAACATTTGGCAAAACCAAGGTCTTGATCTTCGGTAAGCATTAGAGGTCATTCTTAAGCAATTCTGTTCCTAATGGTTTATGCTTTGGTTTGTTACTAGAGAATACTTCTCTACTACCCAAAGGTAGTAAGTAAAATGCAATAAGTATGAATACTTTTGTATATTTTAAAGAGGATTTTTTTATAACTTTCAGTTAGCTAAACAGCTGGGTTCTGTGAAGTTACCAATCTGGTTTGAAAAATGTTTGTCTCATTTAAGTTGCTGTGAGGGATCTACATATCAGGAATGGCTATGATCACACAAACAAGCCACCCTGTAGTCTGCTGATGGTATCTGTAGCATTTGCTTTGAATAGGTTATCAAACTTATAGTCTTCAGCAAATAAACAACTTAGAGCAGAGAAGCTTACCTCCATGGCAACACCAGTGGTTAGCTCTGCTGCTGGTTTGGTTACTCACTGCACTGGTGTTCCAGTTTCTTAGATCAAATTAACTGTTGCTGATTTGTGTTACTGTTGTGTTTTTTGTTTTTTTTTTTTTTATCACAAAAAACTAATGTTCTAGTGTAGCTAGAAGGCTGTTTTCCTCTATTAGTGAGAGATACTTTTACCCTCATAAGGAAAGAAAGTTCAGGAGAGAAAAGGGTTTCCTTAGAAGCATGACTCTCTGAAATCTTTTAAGAGAGGGTGTTAAACATGATAATGGTTGTTACTTTTAGTGTCTGAATAAGACTGCTTTGACTTCTCTCAGAAAAAATGTTTCAAATGAAACTGACAGAAGAAATGCAGATTTGGTGATGGGGCAGAGAACTGTGGGGAAGGGAGAAAGGGGGAGATAAGTAATATCTACTTGTAAAAAGAAATAAGTTACTGAGTCTATCCTTTGAGTTTCACTTACAGATTATGGAATACTTCATGAACTCTGAAGAGCACATGAGTAAATGGCTTTCTGGGTATAGTTAGTCCATTAATATCTGGATGAACAATAATGGTGCTGACTATAGATTCCAATTACAATTTTGTATTATGTGCAGGTGCTACTTGAAAACTCATTTTGAATATTCCATGCTGGCAACACAGTGTATTACCTGCTACTTCTGCAAAGGAATTCATAAGTCCTAACATTCACTTTCTGAATGCTTAGGTTCTGACTCTAGTATTTCAGTTTTAATATAGTTGAATAGATATTGTCAAATTATCCTGCATGCTTAAGAGGCTTCTCCAGAGGATTCTCAAGGCTTCCAAAAATGCATTAATAAAAGTTTAAGGAAAAATTTTATCCTGATACAAAACTGAAGAGTAACACTGGTGGATACAGGGTTTGGATACAGTGGATACATGTTACATGACTAATGTCCATTATGCTTTTTTCACAGGACCAGTGACAATATATAACACACCTGTAAAACATTAAATCAGATTTTCATATCCTAAAGTCAGTAACATAACACTTGAGTAGTCAAGATCATAAAACAACGCCTTTTGCTCGCTGTCTTAAATTGTTTTATTGGAAAAAAAAAAATCCTTTCTCTTACAGGATGTTGCCTTACGGTTGTCTGTCTATTGGTGACTGCGTGGGACTCATTGAGGTAGTGAGAAGTTCTCATACGATCATGCAGATTCAGTGTAAAGGAGGCTTAAAGGGAGCATTGCAGTTCAACAGCCATACCTTGCATCAGTGGCTCAAGGACAAGAACAAAGGAGAAATGTGAGATTTCTTGTTGCTGGGTTTTCCTTGTTCACTTGCTCTTTTTGATGGAAGCTTCAAGAGAACTAAAATGTATCTAAATGGGAAATAGCCTGTATTTTTCCCTGCTCTCATTTGCCTAATAGTCCTATTTGTATTTTCTTTGTATTTAATGAGTTTGAGCAGTCATATGACTTCTCAACAGTAAAGCAAGGTGAAGGCAGAATTAAGGTGACGTGGCTTAACTGTAGTTCCTCCAAGTGAAAGCTCGTCCCTGTCTTTAGAAAACAGACTGTCATTTTAACAGCTTGTTTATTGTTCCATATGCTTAACTGTAAGTACTTCTATGTCTAGTGTATGCTGAATTTTTTTCCTTCAGTAAAGTCTAGAAACTCTACTGCATTGAGTGAAAATGGTAAAATTGGTTCATACCTTTTAAATAAATGAATTGATAATTTTGTATTATTAGAGTGTATGTAGCAATATGTTTTCTTTGTTTTCCATAGGTATGATGCAGCTATTGACTTGTTTACACGTTCTTGTGCTGGCTACTGTGTTGCTACCTTTATACTGGGCATTGGTGATCGCCACAACAGTAACATCATGGTGAAAGATGATGGACAAGTAAGATCTATTTTTGCAAGTACATAGATAGCCCAGTATAACCTTTCAATTTGATGTTTGTTTAAAAAAAAAAAAAACTGAAATATGAGGGATGAGCAATTTTACAATTACATCCTTTAAACGAGGAATTACTAATCTTAAAACACCTTTTTGTCTTTCCAAGCTGTTTCACATTGACTTTGGCCACTTCCTTGACCACAAGAAGAAGAAATTTGGCTACAAAAGAGAGCGTGTGCCCTTTGTCTTAACACAGGACTTTCTAATAGTGATTAGTAAAGGAGCCCAAGAATGCACCAAAACAAGGGAGTTTGAAAGGTAAGTACCTTTCTAAAACCATTTAAATTCTATAACGTGTAACATGCAATAAACATGCAATAACATAAAATGCAATTCTGGTGACCTTTAATTGTTTCACATAAACAGACATTTCACACTCAATGCTGTAAGAGAGCAAATGCTCCTGTATTCAGTGCATTCTGAAGAGTAGTTAAGGATGAACAGTAACTTCATAGAAGTGTGGGACTGAAGTGTATCTCTCCTTGATGATCACCAGGGAAGCACTGTTCACAGCAATTGGTCAGGAAACTTGCTTTATGATCTGAAATGTTGCCACAAATAAGTAAAATGGCTCTGTGTACCCCTTTAGAGTTGTTGAACGTTTGCATAAATTGAGAATTGAGGCTGGAAATTTTGACTGTTGTACCAGTCTGACCAATACTAAGTCTTACAGCAGTTAAAATAATCTAAGAAGGAAGATAAGGATGTCTTTCTTAACATTTGTTGGATTTTGTTAAACTATGAATGTCAACCTTTTACCTGTATATAGTTGCTTGAAAATCTTTTTAGAGGTGAAAAAGAAAATGCATCTAACAAGGCAATGTACTGAGTGTTGTCTCTTTGTGGGTGTGGTTTTTCTTTTCTATCTCTTCCAGGTTTCAAGAGATGTGTTACAAGGCTTATCTAGCAATTCGGCAGCATGCCAATCTGTTCATAAATCTCTTCTCCATGATGCTTGGCTCAGGAATGCCAGAACTGCAGTCCTTTGATGATATTGCGTACATTCGAAAGACCCTTGCATTGGATAAAACTGAGCAGGAAGCTCTTGAGTACTTCATGAAGCAAATGAATGATGCTCACCATGGTGGCTGGACAACAAAAATGGACTGGATCTTCCACACAATAAAGCAACATGCTTTGAACTGAAATGAAAGTGAAGAACACGAGAACTAATAACCCGCTTTGTGGGTACTACACTGTCAATACCCGTTAGCAGCAGAGACTGGTTGCATAGGAATTGCACAAACCACGAATGATATCAGAACTTATGGCAAGAAAAAAGACGAACTATTCAGACAACTGTTGAAAAACAATGTAAAACAGGGTTTCAGATAGCACTAAAATTGTACACTTCAAAAATTAAGCTTTAGTATGATGTGTGACTTCATGTTATGCCTTAAGCCCAAAAAGGTAAACTTGGGAAGAATGTTTCCTTTTTTCATTTGATAGGATAAATTAGAAGGAAAAAGAAAATAGTGCCAGCATGAATATAGAGTCCATCACATATTACCTTAGGTCTGGTACAGCAGGTAGAAACTGCTGGAATGAGAAGCATTGAGAGAAAGTTCAAGTGGTAGTTAATATTTAAATGCAGTGTAGTTTGAAGGGAAGGAGTTTAAGCTCAAAGATCTGAAAAATAGTGAGAGGACAGTGCCTTTTAAATGTGCTCAGAGGCATTAACATACGTAGGGTTTAGATGATCCTTTGATTTCTGGGTCTGTCATCTGCACAGTTTCAGAAAACAGTAGGAAATAGGCCCATTCAGTATGGTGTTTCTTCTGCTCAGTATTTCTAGGGGTGCAATTCATGCCTTCACAAAGAAACTTTTCTTATCATCCCCCAAAACTGACTAACCTGGAAACTGAATGGTCGGAATTGGGTTTAGTGCAACAAAGAGTTGTAGTGTTCATCTTAGGTTTGCTTTAATCTAACTTGAACTGAATAGATTTTTTTCATACATGTTTTCCAAGAACCTAAAAAAGGTGAGTTATTAAAATTATTGAAAGATTATTTTTTTATAAAGGCTATTTATATAATAGGAACTATTATTAATATATATTCTTTATTTACATGATTTGTCCAATATTCACTCTTTTAATTTTGCAGCCCAGTTCTATCTGTCCAAGGCTCCCACTTCCCTTAATGTTACTGAAGGTGACCAGTTATAGGACCAAATTCAGCCCTGGTGAAAGAGGACACAAGTGCCATTGAAATGGTGGGAGACACTCCCACTAATGCCAGAGGTGAACTTGGCCTAAGACTCTTTAACACTAAGTAAAAATTGGGGCAACACTCTTCACATTACTGAAGTGATATGCTGGCTATTCAAGGAACGTATGTTTAAACCCTCAACTTTTGGGTCCATCATTTCTCCTCTTTCTTCCTCCGCTCTGGAAGTGGTTGTTTAATCCAGTAACTGATACATCAGAAATAGCTGTTTAAATTTTCAATATGATCAATAATAAGCAGTTCAACATGCAGCAGATACGTTGGCTAGCTCAAAGCATGTGGAGCTACCAAGCATTTTATAGCTTTGTCTGTTTTGTGTGTGTGTAATATATATTTGTAAATCTAGTTGTCCTCCAACACAATTATGATGTGTGCAATCAATTCAATTGGCACCACTTTTCTGAAACTGTTCAGAGTAAAACGGATGTCAGATTGCCCTCATGCACAGCTTCAGGTAGGAATGTTTTTCTAACTACTAAAAAGGTTGGGTTTTTTTTTGGTTTTTTTTTGTTTTAATTAGTGAAACCCATGATTCTGAGGGTGATGTTTGCCCTAACATTTTAAGCTTGCTAGATTGGCAGCACTTGAAGTGAATTCCAAAGGTCTGGGGCTTTCGGGGTTTCAACTCATTCACTTCCAGACACACACTGAGGTGCCACTCAAAAAGTGCAATACCACATGTAATATAAAATATGCTGACAGCTGGTGTTAGATTAGAATATAAGTATATAAATAAACTGTACTTTGTGCAGGCTGTACTGATGAGGTAATGAGTGGTTGGCTTAATTTAGCAAATTGTAATATATTTTAAAAATGTGCAATCAATTACGTTATGAAAGACTTTGGGGATTGCAAAGCCAGGATTTTGGTTTTTGAAGATCCTTTCATAGTCAAGCTCTTGCAGTTAATTACTGTACACGTAGGTATTTGACAATGTTGTGGGGGGGAAAGGTGTCTTTGTGAAAACTACGGAAGTTCCAGGACTAGTGTGGGAAATGTGAAGTTTTTTCCTTAGTTCTGCTAAACCCTTTGGAGTAGTCCAACAGACTTCCCATTATTCTGTATTGACTGTTACATACTCCTTTTTTTTTTCATATGAATATTTTTACTCCTGCTAACCTTGGGCATACTTTCTAGAGCAAAATTATTTTTGTACATATTACTTTGCAGTCAACACTAATGGTGTAGCTCTTTGAAAACATGGCTTTGTTTCAATGAGTTTAAACTGTTTTGTTTGCAAAATCTGAAACCCTGTTGGCTTTAACTCTTAATTTAACAGAGTAAAATCGTTGCACAAATGCCGCATTAGGTGCTACATGATCATTATTTATCTATTAATGAAACAATGTTTTACTTTTTTTTTATATAGGAGGATGGTTGGACTTTTCCAACCAGGATGGAAAGAGAACTCAAATCTTTTGCATCCTATGAGCCCACCTTCTTTTGTACTTTACCCCTTCTTAATGATATACTTGTGTAAATATGGGTATAAATGTCTTTCAGTTCAAGCATACAGTGTTTTGCACCCTTTTTGCACAAACAGAAAGGTATGAGGAATCAGGCTCTGTTTCCAAAACTTACTGCAACTAAATGCTATGCATGAGCTGTGGAAGTTCATATGGGCATCAAATAATAAAAGAAAGGAAACATAGTGATATAGACATACTGTGACGTGGGGTAATTATAGTTGGTCTTTTTTTTAATGGGGAATATCATGGGTGTAAAGCTATTGTTCCTACTGTAACCAAGACGGGCATTTGGAAAACATTCTGCTGGTGTTTCAGGGGGGAAAAAAGGTTTTCCAGCTTCAAAGCATTTAATACTAATTACCTTACCTTGTTACACCACTTTTCTGATATAAATTCACTGAAGATAATGGATTTACTATTGACGTAGGTTGATGTAAATAGGGTGATGTCATCTGTTCTCAATATCTGAAATAAGATCTGCTTATTGACTGTGAAAACACCTGTGACTGAGCTCTAGATTGTTTTGGATTGCTTGGAATTGGAATTTTTATTTTCTTTAATTATTCCCACTTCATGGACATTGGAAAATGTTCCCTTTATTCTGAGTATCAAACGCACAAAACACTAAGCAGCTGGTTTGGGGCTTCAGTTAAATCTGAACACACTGTTCCTGCAAAACTTTGTAAGAAAAATGCTGGAGCAAGGAGCCCAGGTCTGGGCAGTACGTGTTATTGCAAAGCATTAGGAAGAAATTAGTGAAAGATCACTTTAAAGACTAACCTCATCAGTTGTGAAGCTAGTCATGTTTGATTTAATGACAAATCAAGCAGGTTGCTGCTGATCAGTTTTTTTCTGAAATACGTTCTTTGCTTTCCTGGAGGCAGCTCAAAAAGCACCTCTGACTTATGCACAATTTCTGTTCAGAAGGAGTGCATTTGCAGGTTTTTTTCAGACATACTTTCAGTATAAATTGGGGGGAGGGGAGAGAAGGCATTTAAGCATTTAAATAAAACCAAAACTGTCAGTGCTTTGGTATCTTATGGTGAAGATAAGCCTGCGTATTAAAGACAATTTAGAAATTACTGAGCTCATAGAGAACTCTGTATGTGCTGATCCTGCTGCTTGTCTTCTGGAAGATTGGTTTGGTTTTTCAGCTTCCCTTTCCATGTAAAATGTTAAAAGCCCTTTAGCAGTCAGTAGCATGTGTTTGTTGACAACTTGAGGCGTTTTCTTTGTCATTCTACGACTGGCATGTAATTTGTCCTTTAATAATGGCACGTTCCAGCACTTGTTCTAAGTGATAATTGTGAGTTCCTCCTGTTCTGCATGTCTGTACAGGTTGCAGATGTGGGCTGGGCCCATTCAAAAAGAAAAAAAACAAATGAAAATGAAGCCACTGAAATTAGTGTTCTATTGATGTCTTTAACATTTTTAAAATATTACAAGTTAATGAAAATGGTGTGGTATTACAGAGAGAATTGTAATTTGCTGCTTCTGAGATCTTTTTTTAAATTTCCATGGTTTCTTTTTAATTTTTGTTTTACTTGAAAGAAGAACCACATTTTCATTGTTGGTTTTATATGGCTTTCGTTTGTTTTTTTAATACTATGTAGCTGTAGATATCATTGCAGTTTGTTGAATCCCCATTTTAATTTTGTAATATACGTTTCATGCAAATAATGAATTTTTATCTTTTTTTGTGCTGAAAGTTGTCTCAGTTTAGGGTAAGGTTCTCTGTCCAAATTGATGGGTAGCTCACCACTCAGCCCTGCAGTTGACAGTGTGTGGGTTGGTTTTTAATCTGTGTTCTTGAAAGAAGCTGACTAGAAACTGCATATAGAAGTTTTCAGTTTGCATACACTAACCCAAATCTAGGTGCCCTGGTCTTCAGGAAGTTCTGATTTCTGTGTGCAGATAGAACACAGATGTCATTAGAAACACTCTAGATTCACAACAGTAAATGAAATCAGAATTAGGCTCTGTGCATATTAAAGTCCCAGACTACTTGTTCATATGATTCAGTATGAAGGGTGCTGTTTTATGATAGGAATGGGTACTAGCTGCCTGATTAAATCTTTGACTGTTTTATTTGGAAATAGTCTTTCTTTATTAACTAGCCTTTTTAGCTCTAATTCATAACTGTGGTAATTTTGTCTGTAGTGGCTTTTATCTGTGGGACTTTGAGGTTTATTGCTTATTACCTTAAAAAAAAAACAACAACAAACCTCTTAGTTTCTTCTTCCTACTTGTGAACCTGCACTAGGGAGAAATACAGTTGTTGTTAATGCAGTATTTAGAGTACAGCATTCTTTACTTCTGAGCTTTCTGAGATAGAATTCAAAAGTACAAGACCACAGTACAGAGGTGGGCCCCTTCCTTCTCCAACACCCCTCTCTGTGAAAATGGACATGCCCATAGTCTATGAACAACTTAAAATATTTGCAAAAGAAGATTAATTTAAGCAATGCTGTTAGCTTTCCCATTGATTCGCATTAATGTCTTAAGTGTCCTTGCTGTCATTTCTGTATGTGATACAATTTTTTTTCAGCATGAGGGAGGCCAGAAAATATACTATCTTGACTCCTGAGGTCCTGGTGCCAATTCCCCAGTAGCTGTAAAATAGTTTAGGAACTGTTTAGTTCAAATCAATTTAATTAGGAACCTGTTCCAGTATTAGAATTACTCCCAGTTAAACTTGACAACTGTATTGCTGAAGTTACTGAAAGCCTGATTCAAGCAGAATCTCTGTCTCCTGAGGCTCTTACGTCTGCTGCAGTTCAATCCATGAGGTCCAAGATGTGTATGTTTACAGCTGAGCTCTAATTCTGCTTTGTTTGTTGGTCTAAATATATTGCTCAATTCCCAGGATTTAGTAATAGTGTTTTAAAGTCTAAATTATCAACTGTACCAGGCTGTCCTGAGTTGTCTTACTGTTTTGTTTGGGGCAAGAGGGAGAGAAAGGGAGGAAAGAGATGAATTCTTCTTGTCTTACAGCCACTGTGGTGTACATTTATATTCTTTTTATTTTTTGAGCATGTATGTGAATATAAATGTGTAACTTCATCATCTGGGAGTATCATCTTCTCTTTCCTTTCCCCATTCCACCTCTACAAGTTTTAATTGAATAGCCACATACACTACTGAAATCCCTTTGCCTGCTTTGGAGATCATCCAGTCTGACTGCCCTGTTTGATGCAGGGTCAGCTAGAGCAGGCTGTCCTGTCCACCCAAGAGAGGAGGATTCCCACTAAAAGCTTTTTCTCAATGTTTGAATGAAATTCCTTCTATTTCATTGCCTAACCTCCTTATGTAGGGCACCAAGAAGAGCCTCGCCTGTCTTCTTTACGCCCTCTGGCAGGTATGTGTAGGTGCCCTTGAGCTTTTTCTTCAGCAGTCTGAACAATCCCAGTCCTCAGTCTCGCACTGTAGGTATCCCATGTCTTTATGGCTCTTTACTGGACCAGCTCCAGTATGTTCACGTCACTTCTACTGGGGAGTCCAGCACTGCTGGTTTGGTGTCCCCAGTGTTGAGCAGAGGATCAGGGATCACCTCCCTTGACCGGGATTCTGCTGGCATTTTGCATAGACAGAGCCCAGAAGCATGTATTCTCTTGATGCTTATGCTGCTTTATTGAAGCTAGAGGCAGTTCATGTCTGCATCAAAAAAGAGAGTATAAACACCTACCAGTGTTGAATACCTTTTCAAAACCAGACAGTTATCTTTGAAATAACCACTATTGGGGGTGGGGGGAGGATGTTGGGATGTGTATGTCATTCTGTAATACAGGTCCTGTGGTATAATAGCTAGAAAACAAGACATTTTTAGTAATTATGGGCCAAAACAAGTTTAAGATATGCAGGAAAATGCATGTATTGTTGTACTGAGAAAGTCTTGCAGCACATTTAAAAAAAAAAAAAAAAAAATCCCTTCTGCTGTGCTATTCAAGTAACAAGCAAACTTTGGCCTGTGCCATTTAATTGTAGTTCATGTTCATGGGGAACTGTAAAAAGTCTTTTTATTTATCTCCATTGTCTGTATCACATGCTGTTAATTAAAAAAATACTACTTGGGGTTTTTATCACACTTTTGAGTGTTACTGTATATACTAAATACTAAATTAAAATAATATGGTTGGTACACTCGTTCTGAAATGAGAATTTATAGCAGCTCGAGTTGTGGAGGTGTGATTTGGTATTTTGGGCCTTCTTGGAAAGGCTTGAAGAAAGGAGGTAGAAAATGCTTACATCTGTTAATTTAGGTGGGGAAAAATACTGAAATTAGCCTTATTTGTGGGAATAGCTATGTGAGAGGTCTTAACTGCACATGGTGTTCACTGTTGCATACACTGAATAAGTGACTTAGTTCAGATATTGTCCCATAGCTGTGAGAGGAGAGCAGGCAGTGTGGAAGCGTTTCAGCAGAATGGCGGCAAAGCCTCTCTGAAGTTGATCAGTTTTAATTTTGAGAACTATGAAGATATTTCATCACCAAAACTATATTTAAAAATAAAAACTAGGTTGCATTTTTGTATCTATTGCTTTTAAAAAGTGAGAAGCTATTTCGGAAATTATACATTGACAAGTGTGAGAATGTGGGCTTGTAATAGAATTGCAAAAGTTCTGTTTTATTTTAGCCTTCAACATTCAACAAACTGTTACTGTAGGAGGGATTTGAGTTCTCTTGCTGAGGATTTGATTTTTTGGAGGCATGAGGAATGCGTCAGGATGTAATCAGGTCACCACTACGTGTCTTTGGTTCACTCAGTTATTTCAGAGCACAAATAGAGCTCTATATGGAGAGGCCTTTGTCAATAAAAGTGAAAGGCGACCTGAGAGAGCATTTATCTCCCAGACTTCACCCAGTCTATTCTCAGCAAAACCTGATGTTGAAAAAGGAAGATCTTTGCCTGAGATCTGTTCTGTACTCCTCACATATCCAATAACTGACTGAGGTGGCAGAACATAAAGAGGTGCTGTCTTTCTCTGATCAGTGGTGTTGTCTGCTGGGTGCAAACCTTAAGGGATGCCCTGAAACCCATATGCTCCACAGCTCCCTTGCTTTCTCTGTGAAATGTGAGTCAGGCTGGGGCCTTCCAGAAAGGAAAGAACAAGTCCTCCTACAAGGAGCTAAGATGCCTAGATTTGTCACCTCTTGGCTGCACAACAAGATATTCTAGCTCTGCAGCTTGCAAGCTCAAAGCTGAAGTGCCTCCCATCCCAACAGCAGTCTGCTTCTGCTGCCACAGGTAGGTAAAAGTTGCCATGTGCTATGTGTTTAATTAAACACTTTACCCCATTCTTATTTTGGCTGATTGAAAAGAACATGACCTGTGTTGCCTGTTTAAACCGGGAGGTTACTTCCACTTGGGCTTCCTTCTGTTTCCAGTCAGAGCAAGTTCAGCGTGATTAAATCTGACCCTGATCTGTTTGAAGATCTCAGGAATGTGGCAGTTTCAAAAGTGAAATGAATTTTCTTTCTAAAGCATTGATGAAACCTTTTGGTGCCTACAGCTTTGAACTGTATCTATGACTTCAAAGGCGATCCTCACATTTTGTTCTTTCATTGTCTTGCCTTTTTAGCTGTGTGGTTGGGCTGTGCTGTTCTTTGTGGATTTCTCTTTGTGGAAGAGAAATTCAGCCAAAACACAAAGAAGACATTGTGCTTTATGTGGAAGTGGCTTGGCTACCATGATTGTGTCTCACTGAGCACTGGATTCAAAGAAAAGGGCTGGGTGGGTTTGGTTTTCTTGGTTTTTGTTTTGTTTGAGTTGGTTTTTTTTTATTTTTTATTTTGGAGGAGGGGTTGGTTTTGGATTGTATTGCTGCCCTCCACTGGGCACTAGGGAAAGTGTTTTTTTTTTCATATTCACAGTATTTACCTAGGAAACTTTGCCATGAACAGAAATATGTGAGCATCCACCCAACTGGATGGCTGTAGCTAATTTATGGGGACTTCATCCAAACCAGTCTTGGAGGAAACCCAGGCTCCTATAACTGAGATAAACAGTGCAGAACAAACCAGAGAGAGAGACGCTAAAATCTTGTTTGGTAATTCTCAAGAGCAGAGAGATGAATCGTGTTATTTTCTGAGCCCTCAGAAAAGTGCTTTGAAAAGGACCACAGTGCTTGTATTCGTGCTGCTTGCCTTCATCGTGCGTGACCATATGGTAAAAGCACGGTTGGTAACCTAATCGGCTGCCCCTAGAGCTCTGTCTGGGAAGTCAGAAAAGGCTGAAGGTAGGATTTTATAAACTAAGTCCAGCACAACGACGACAGCCTTTGGTGCGGAAGAATCGGCCCTCAGCCAGCCTCCAACGCCGAGAGGCAGCTCCTCGTGTAATAGCGGGGCGGAGGGAAAGCCCCTCGCCACCCCCCCGCCCGACCGCTGTAGCGGAGCCGGGAGGCGGCCTCCTCTCCGCACCGCGCCCTCCAGGGGGCGCCGCGATGGCGGCTGCCGCTCGGCCCGCCCCGCCCCTTCCCCCGCGGGGTGCGCCGCGTCCGGAGGCGGCTGCGGTGCGGGCTGGGCGCGGAGAGGAAGGTGAGTCCCAGCGGCGAGGCACGGGAGGGGCGGCCGCGGCGTCGCCCGGAGCCCTGGGGATCGGCGTGGCACCCGCGGGCGCCCGCCTCCCTCCGGCCGTTCGCCGCGCGGGGCCGCTCACCGCCTTCTCCCGCCCGCCCCCATTTTAAGCCCTGTCCCCGGCGCCATTTGAAGTGCGAAGCCGCGGCTCGGTGCCTCCTCGCCTCCCCCCTCCGTCGGCCGCATCCCGCCGGCCGCAGCCGTGACTCACGCTCGGTGCCGCGCTCCCGGTGCCGGCTGGTGGCTGGGCCCTCCCTCACGGAGCCCGCGCTGCTGCCTCGCTCTGCCCCCGCCCCTCCGGTCCCGCTAGGCCGCGGCTCGGGGAGGGGCGGCGGGGCTGGCGGCCTCGCCCCGCCGCGGTCTCGGTGCGTTGTGGGCTCTTCCCTCTCGACCGAAGCGATGGCGGCGTTCGATGCCTCCGATACAGCATTGAAGCGGTTCGCCCTGAGGTTGGCCCGTTACAATAAAGCCGTGCTTCGTACCGATTGTTCCATCTCACGAGAACGTCGGTAACGTGGTAGGATATGTGTTCTTTTTCTCTCGGTTCTGAAGCTGGGCCTGTAAGCGCCCTAATGCTGCGGAACGCCTCGGGTTCCGTTTGCAGCACTGCAGTTCTTTGAGCCCAGCCGGTTTGGTGTCATCTCCTTTCCCTTCGGGAGCCACAGACAAAGGGCAGCCCGGGCTGTGCGCTCAGCAGCGCTGATGCTCCCAACCGAGCACTGCTTTCGACTCCATGTGGTATTTTTCAGCCTTACAGTTAGTACTAGTTGTGTGTTTGTTTCTGATGTGATTATTTGGGGGACTGTTTCTTCTTTATTTTATGATTAAACTATATTAAATGCTTTCCTTCTGCAGATGAAGGCCTCGTGCTGCTGTACTTGCTGTACGTGGGTGCAGTGCAGCTGTCAGCCTCCGAGCTGCTCTGCTTGCTGACGCTGAAAAGTGTGGGATTTTGGTAAGATGGCATCACTTCTGTTTTCATTTCCAGCGTGAAAGTCTCTGAAGGTCACTGCCCCAGGGTATCTAATCTCTGACAGAAGGCAGCATGCAGGAGAGCTGCTTGTAACATACCATGCAGACAGCGGCTGCAGTCTGTATGGTGAGCCTTCTTACTCCTGGGGCAGGAATACAGAACTATTTGTTATTTGTGTGCTTTTAATATTTTCTTAATTGTAACAGAATAAATAGGGGGGATGTAAGAAAAACTCTCTGTGTGGTGTTTGGGGTTTCAGAATACTTGTATTGTTTCATGAAAAGTATAAGCTGATAAATACAAGTTTAGCCAATTTTTGAATGTTTTCATTTTATGATTAACATAGACTGTTCAAAATGAATGAACATCCTAAGAAGAGGAAACGGAAGACACAGCACCCTTCTCGATATTCAGGTCAGCCTAGAGCTCCAGTTATGTACACTTCAATTCATTTAATTTTTCTCAGAGTAATAGCTTTGTTATGTTTGTACCTGGCAAGTAAGTAATATACAAGGGCTGGGTTAAGATGCCTTCTACTGAACATGCAGGGTGCCCGCCCTGCGTGCTCTGTTCTTAGGCCACTTTCAGTCTGTGCATCTGAGCAGGTTTGTGCTCTACTCCCTGCATGTTGGAAAGCTTGCACAGACCATAAAGTGGAGATGATTCTGATACTGACACACAAGGGGAGAAATTCCCTGGAAGTTGGGATTAAGGGGTCAGTAAGCATTCCAGTCCATAAGCATTCAGCACTGCGTTAGCTGTGCTCCTTTTACTGTTTCAGAGGAAGTTCAGCAACAACCGTATGTGATGCTCTGAACACTGGGACAGCAGCAGAAAGCTGTAAATCAGAACAGGAACATTAGCAGACCAGCACAGAATGCTCATAAAGCAAGAAGTAAAAACATAGCCAGTGAGAATTTTAGTGCACACTGAATCCATATGTAGCTACATCAGTTTGTTAGTGCTAATCGTTTTTTTTTTGTTTGTTTGTTTGTTTTTGTAATACAGATTCTTCAGGTGCCCCTAAATATATAGACAATAGTGGGATTTTTTCTGACCACTGCTACAGTGTTTGTTCTATGAAACAACCAGACATAAAGTATTCTGAAAACAGAGGTAAGAGTGCATGTTGGGGTCTTGCTATGTAATGCTTGACTAAGTGTATTGTGCTCTGATTTGTAGAAATAAATAGAAAACAAAACAGATAGTGGTTGTTTCCTGAGTATTGTTCTGATTTGATGTCCCTTAGACTGAATATTATATCAATTATATTAAGTAAAAAAATCCTTCTTTTATCTTTGCAGGTAGATACCATAGTCCGGTGCAGAGCATAGACACAGATGATGACGGGAGTCCAGTGCATGCTGGGACTTCTCAGTGGAGTGGGTCGCATTCAAACGTAGGGTTGCACTATACAGACCCTAAAAAGAAGGATAAAGGTAGGCGTGCATTTGCAGCTTACATACTGGGAGGCTGGAAGCCACGTATACTGGTGTTTAATGTAACAAATGCTTTACTTTCTTGGTTTGACAGAAGAGATCGAGGTTTTTTAGCTTACATTATTTATTTGTTAGTTGTAGTCTTGGTGCCTGAATGATAATATTTGCTTTTTGCACTTATAGGCTTCTACAACCAACTAAATACGCGCCCAGCTTCTTTGCAGGGTTGTTTGTTTTTGTTTTATTTTGTGTTTTAAACTGACCTTTATTATCTACTTGCTCCTACAGATAAAGCTGCTAATAATGGAATGTGCAAAGACGTGTGTGACTCACCTATATTCAGTGACAGCCCTACAGAAGAAGAAAAACCTCTTGATATTCAAACTGTAGAAATTTCTACAACAGAAGTTAATGCTGTAGAAGTCCATGATATAGAAACACAAACTGTGTCACCTGAGAAGCTAGAAGCTGAGGACCTAGAGGAGATCCCTCTTGAAACCTGTAAAATCTTTGAGAAGAACCAGGCTTTGAATATCACAGCTCAGCAGAAATGGCCTTTGCTGAGAGCCAACAGCAGCGGCCTGTACAAGTGTGAGCTCTGTGAGTTTAACAGCAAGTACTTCTCTGATTTAAAGCAGCACATGATCCTGAAGCATAAGACGTGTGCGGACACTCATGTCTGTAAAGTTTGTAAAGAAAACTTCTCCAGCAAAGTGCAGCTCATTGAACATGTGAAACTGCACGAGGAGGACCCATACATCTGTAAATACTGTGATTACAAAACGGTGATATTTGAGAATCTGAGTCAGCACATAGCAGACACTCACTTCAATGACCACCTTTATTGGTGCGAGCAGTGCGATATGCAGTTCTCCTCCAGCAGCGAGCTGTACCTGCACTTCCAGGAACACAGCTGTGACGAGCAGTATTTGTGTCAATTCTGTGAGCATGAAACAAACGATCCAGAAGATCTGCACAGCCACGTGGTGAATGAACACGCGTGCCGACTGATAGAGCTCAGCGACAGCTATCATAACAAGGAGCGTGGACAGTACAGCCTCATAAACAAAATCAGTTTTGACAAATGCAAAAACTTCTTTGTATGCCAAGTGTGTGGCTTTAGGAGCAGGCTGCATACAAACGTCAACAGGCACGTAGCTATTGAACACACCAAAATATTCCCTCATGTTTGTGATGACTGTGGAAAGGGCTTTTCAGGTATGTTGGAGTATTGCAAGCATTTAAGCTCTCATTTATCTGAAGGGATTTATTTGTGTCAGTACTGTGAGTATTCAACAGGACAGATTGAAGACCTTAAAACCCATTTGGATTTCAGGCATTCCACAGACTTGCCACATAAATGTACTGATTGTTTAATGAGATTTGGAAATGAAAAAGATCTTCTAAGTCATCTTCAGATACATGAGACAGCTTGATTATTTTCTTTCCCTGCAATAAGCTTGTTAGGATTGGAATTAAAAACACAATATTAAATACAGTTTTAATAGCACTTGTACAATTATAATGTTTTTATGTCAACGAAGCATGTGTAATGGCTTGGTGTTAGGAATTTCCTTTCCTAGGAGTTTCCGTAGGTATAATCACACGTACAAGTGGGATGGATCGCATTCTGGGGGGAGGGACAGTGGGAATAGTTGCATGTCATAATAGTTCCAACTGTTGTCCCACACTTTCACATGAAAGGTACAACAGCAGCTCTTTGGAGTTTGATATGACCGAGGGAAAGCCAGCTTCTCCGTCCACGCTGAAGTAATACCATACTGATCTCAGCTGCGTCTCCTACTCATGTTATCCTCCACAGCAGCAGGGCACTGCTCACTTTTAGAAAATGGCACCAGCCTGCTGAAGATAACCGCGTTCCAAAAATTCCTGGGCATGAGAATGTCAAAATTCATATGTCAGCCTGTATTGACCACCTTGTATTCTTGATAAGCTTTTAAAATTGGTGCGTCTTTCTCTCAAGGTTACCTATCCTACCTCATCGTTTGTTTGAGTCTTTGGTCAGTGTTCAGTTTCAAATCCTGTCCCAACAATGCTTTCATCCACACATTTAGTAGGGACTGCCAACATCACTTTCATTTCTTTTATTTACCTTCACTTGCTGTCTTTGTTTTGATGCACAAAGGAGACATGTACTGCTTGTGTGCAGTCTGGGATGGGTTTTAAGCAGCAATTCTAAGGGGATGTGTGAAGTGATCCAGCTGAGAATATATAGTGTAACTTTCATATCTAAAATCTTAGTTTAGCTCTGAAATATGTCACCAACCTCATTTGGAGAAAGCCTCTGTAAGTAAACTAGTTCAGAATTATTCTGTAGATTTATAATTAGCTTTCTATGACTAGTAATTTGAGGGAAGTGATTTTAAATCTGTATGTGATAAACTTAAATGTGATAAACTCAAACACTGGTATGGTTTTAAAAAAAAATCATTTAAAAGTGGTTTAGTACAGCTATTCTGATTAGATAGATAGTGTTCTTTGGGCATTACAATCTTACTAAGTGAATTTTTAAGCTTCAGTCCATAGCTGTGTTTCTCAGTGACTGATAGTTGTACAGATAATTAAGGGTGAGATCATTTAGACAGTTTAGCTATCAGGGTGAAGTAATCCATAAAATGGTGGAGTTTGTTTCTGTACTGACTGTAAATCTGTAAGATTGTCTAATGTAAGTATTATATAGGCATAATTAATGTATAGAACATTTCCTGATTGGTGAGACTTAGTGTTATCAGCTCCCAAGTGTGCAAGGGACTTAGCACTGGAGTTTTATAGCTATAAACATTGGCTGAAATATAGTGAGTTTATGGAATTTCTGATGTCTAGAGAAGTATTTCCAGAACATCTGAAAAGGAGCCATTTAACACCGGTTTAGTAGGAGGCAGGACTTATTTTTGTTGTATTGAAATGCTGGTTTAGTACCAAATCCTACATGTAATCTTCGAAAAGGACAACCCAATCATATCCTGACTGTATTTTTTTTTTTTTTAGTTGTACAGGGAATGGCAATGTCTGCATTAGTATCACTAATTTCATATTGCCTGGTTTAATATGGTAGCAATAATGTAGGTTATGGAGTACTAATAAGAATTGTTCTGTATGTGGAAGTCTGATTTTGCTCATATGGGTATAACAGAGTGGGGGGGAGATGCTTGAGCTTCTCTTCCACTCTGCTCTTGGTGACTCAGGATTCCAGAGTGGCTTCCTGTTGACATATGTCAATTTCTAATCTTTAAAATGGGGATTAAAAGAATATGCTATAGGAGTGGTATGAAAGCAAATTCCAATCTAAAATGCACACCACAGTGTCTAGATAAGAAATACATTTAGGTTTTACTTAGGATTTCACAAATACAGCAGTGCGGTGTTAGAAAGTAAATGGAAAGTAATTAGAAAGTAAATGGAAATGTATGTGACCAGTTGGTCTCATCTCACCACAGAGGGAGCAGAAATAAGTTACTTAGGCTTATTTTAGGCATGACTAGCCTGCCTAAACAAGAAAGGTATGTAGTGGAAGAAAAAATAGGTCATGAGTGGAACGTGTTTAGAAATTGGAGTGCTGGAAGGAATGAGCGTATGTGTGGGGACAGCCTGTTGTTCCCAGGGAGGGCACTGTGCAGTCTCTGGGAATTCAGGGCTGGGTGGAAAGCCACGCTGAGCTTGGAGCATGCCTAGTGCTGCTGGGCCCTGAAGTCATCTTTAGCATTAATTGATCAGTCCTGGGTTACAGCTATCAACTGCAGTGATCAGGAGTTTTTCGGTAAGCCTTTCCATTTCAGCTGTTTCTTGCACTGATACAGGCAGGGCTTCTCTGCTGCAGTGACAAGAAGCTCTGCTCAATCCCAGGGTCGCTTTGGGAAGTGGTTCATTTAGTGTTCAGGCATCTGAGCCTATGGCTTATAATATCAGCATCGAGTACCACAGCTTCTGGGAGCATGTTGGCTACCAAATGAGAGAATGTCTTTATATGGAAGAGTTAAGATTAAAATCCCATTTCTTAGTGCAAGAACCCGCAGCACAGAGCCCTACTGCTTCTCTACTCTCTCCCCAATGCTTATGGATTGCCACAGTCTGTGCTGCCTTTCTCCTGTTTCATGCAGAAGTCCCAAACGTACAAGCGACGGGTGCTTATGAAGCCCACAAGTGTTCGTCACCTCAGCTACCGGCGTCTGACTGAAGGGCGGCGCTGCCGGCACGCAGCCCTGCCTCCCGCGCTTTCCTTGGGCTTCCCGAGGGCTGTGAGGGGTTACGGGACGGCCTGGGCTGGAGACAGCTTTCATGTGCAGATGTTCCCGCTGGCACTGGGCTGCACCTAAACTGCTGTCTGGGGAAGAAGCTATGGCAAAAAATATAAAATATATCTATTTTAAAAATTAACCATAGCCCTGGCAGTTGTAAAGGGCAGAGGGGGGCTATTTCCCCTCAGCGCCCCGTCTCCATTTCACACGCGGTCGTCCCCTCCGCCCTGCAGATGGCGGCCGCCGCCCCGCGACCCCTCACTAAACATGGCGGCCGCCGCTCCGTCCCGCGGGCGGAGCCGGGAGGTGGAGGGGGAGGAGGCGGAAGTGGAAGTGGCGTCAGTGTGCGGCCCGGCGGCGGGGCAGGAGGCGGCGGCGGCGGCAGCGCGGTGCCCCGCCGGCGGCGCGGCGGTTGCCTGGTAACGGCGGGGCCTGAGGAGGAACGGGGGCCTCGGCCCGCAGCGCTGTCCGACCTGCGGGGCTGCGCGGGGAGCTGCGGCCTGGCCTCGTTTGGCCCCGTCCGTGATGCCCGGGCCTGGCCGAGGGAGAAGGCTGTGACCTCCGGGCGGGAGCGGGGTTAAATGGAGGACTGGGGGTGAGGCGTGCTTGGGAACGAGCCGTACGGAGCCGTACGAAATCGGCGCTGAGGCTGTGCTTTGTGAGCAGCTGTCAGCGTGAGTGGTGGGGAGGGTGAAGGGTTTGCCAGCATAACGCCTTACTTCCATCGGTTACGTTGTTGTTTGTTTTAATTACCTGAGAGCTGATGTGTTTTAATTACCCAGTGTGCTGAGAGCACGTTGATTTTCACTGACGCGGGCTCTCTGCGTGTTTCGGTCACTTCGTGCAACTTTCCTCACAGTTACATAATGGCAGAAGCCGCCGTGTCCCCGCTGAAGCACTTCGTGCTGGCCAAAAAGACCATCACTGCCATCTTTGAGCAGCTGCTGGACTACGTCACTGAGGGGGCTGCTTTTGTGGAAGGTCAGTTTTTGACTTGATATAAGGCCTGATCCATTGCTTTGAATTGATTTCGTGGTAGTGCAGCATGTGTTATGGTACACATCCGTGTGCTGCTTGTGTGAATATATGCTTTCAGACATTGCTGTGCTTTTTGCTTGAGGAAAGTGAAATGCTGTGCTAGTAGCCATACCTGGGATGGTTGTGCCTAGTAATAGCTGGCTGCATCGTGTGGCATTGGCTGCTTTCTGTGATGGTGGAAGCTGAGCTACTTCATGTGGGTTGGGGCCACTTACAGCCCCGTTTCAGTTCATTGCACAAAGAAAAGCATTGACAGGCTGTGCTACCTGTTAAGCAGGTTGATCTCTCTGATAGGAAAGTGGATCATAAAGATATGATGTAAAAAACCTGTGGTTACAACACCACAGGTTTCAGCAGTGTGGAGATGCATGTTGCCACACAGCTTGGTTGCTCATCACTCCGCTGAGCTCTGTGCTGAAAGGGCAGCCCAGCCTGGCTCTGGTGTCCATGGCAGTCCTTGTTTGGCTTTCTGAAGGAGGCAGTGTCACAAAGGCCAGGCACTAAGCCCGTGGACGCAGCCTGATGTGCTGAAGAGGGCCGTTCATATTCTGAGATCTCTGCATTCTCTTTAAACATAGATCGTTTTTAACTTTAGTAGTGAGTTTGTTGATTCATCTGTAGTGATTTAACATGATTTCCTGAGTGCTCTGTGGAACTCTCAAATGATGGGCTCACATCATGGAGTTATTTTTGCTTTCCTACTGCTGCATAATTAAAATTTAGACATACCTTTGTCATGCGAAGTATTGATAATGTAGGTCTTGTATACCAGAGTGTGCATTCTGTATGTGATAGCTTTTGTTGTTTTTTTTTCTATGTGTAGCAACATACAGGAACCCAGAGCTTGAACGTATAGCAACAGAAGATGAATTAGCAGAAATACAGGCATATAAAAAGAAGTTAGCAGTCATCGGTGAAGTGCTTTCACGGAGACACATGAAAGTGGCATTTTTTGGCAGGTAATGAATGAATTTGATCTCTTTCAGAACTTAACATGTTTGTAACTTACCTGCACCAGAATTAGTTCATTATATGATTATTCTTTGAACGTGCTCACTCCTCCCCTAATGGATGCTAAACATTTCTGTGACACCATCTTGTTCTATTTGTGTAGTTTAATTATGTATGTCTTGCTACATATTTTTATGGGTAGGTTACATAAAATGTTTTTTTTGTGTAGGTCTATTATTTGACTTAGGAAGATGAGAGCTAGTTGCCTTCTCCTGAATGTTCTGTTTGTTTAACTTGGTGGCTTTGTTTGTTCAGAGTGTTTGTTGTACTGAACTACTGTTTTTAAGAACTTCTGTTGGTGTGTATTATAAGTGCTGAAAAACAAAAATTGAAGCTGTTCATTTCCACATATAAGCAACTGAAGAAAAATAAGCAGTGTTAGAGGCCCTTGCTGTGCTGGTTGTGCCATTAGCTCCATAGGTCTGTGTGGTGCTTATTAGGGAAAATAGTAACGCTGCATTACATGGCTTGCAGATAAATCTGAACGCGACATGAATTTCTGCTGCCCTGGAATCACTTAATAAGGAAAGATCTGAATTCACTGTCTTTTTACAGAATGAGTATCAAATACTTTGCATATTTAGTTAGCATTTTCAAAGTTATAGATTATTTAAATGGTTACATGTATTTTCTGGAATATGACTTTTTTTAATTGAAAAAATTGTGCTGGTATTGAAAAAAGTACATACAGCCCTGAGTGTTGTATGTGGTTGCACTCTCACTCTGCTAGCAGTTGCTCCATTATTTAAAGAAAGAAGATGAGAGGAGCTGGGATAAGTAAACTGTATCTGAACCTTGGCATTTCACGAAGTTAAAAGCTGAATGCATTTACTAGCTGTGCTACATGGTGAATGTTGCTTTTGCAAGTTCAGCGCAGGAGATGATGAATTAAACCTTAACCTGAACTCTCCCTCTGACGTTCTGAATGAATCTGTTAAGTATTGTACAGTGAGTCCTGAACTTTCTGCTAGAGGAAGTAGCTCAGTTAACAAATTACAGCCCGTGCTTACTTCACACCACTGTGTAAGAGTTAAGTCTCAAATCTTGCTGGGTGAGGGTTACTGCAGAATGGGGCATTGCTGAGAACTTCACGTCCTTGTGGAGGTGCTGAGTTGGTGAGCAGTTGCATTGAGTCAAGAGAACACTGATTTAATTGAGCTACTTTTTCCTTCTGAAATAAGGACAAGACTAAGTTCCATGATTAAAAACAGCATTTGCATTATAAGGATTGCATGTAAGAAATAAATTTGATTATCTTTTTGCACACTGCTTTACATCTTCCTTTGGAGATGTTGATTAAGTTGAGGTTATTGTTGATTAAATTGTTTGGAGTTGGCTGTAATGAGGATTCCCAGACAGCAGTACTTGGAGGCATATCTCAGGACATTGATACAGTGCTCCTTTTGCACCACATCTAATGCTTTAGAGGCTATATCAGAAGCACTGGTTCCTTCCTGACTGGCACAGATCGATGTTTTCTGAGGGCAGTGTGTTAAGTTACAGAGATGGTAATTTCACAGGCATTTTAAGTAGTCGCTGTTGATGCCATCGCAGAGGCTACTAAGTCCTTTTCTGTCCCTGTAATGCAACCTTTTCCTCATGCCTTCTCCAGCATCTCTGGAATTACTCCCTTAGCTTTGCTGCACACAGGAATGTTGAATTGTTACCCGATCAAAACATTCTATCCGAAATATTACACAGGTTTTCCATCAGTTCTTTTCTCTGGGAATTCCAGCACTGGCCCAAGGCAGAGGGCAGGCTGTCCCTTCTGAGGGACAGGGTGGTGGTACTTAACAACTCCTTTGCATTGATCTGAGGCATTGTTTTAGGCTAGATGCTTTTTCTGGTGCAGCAGAATTGGACTGCTTTTTTTTTTTTTTTTTTTTTTTTTTTTAACAGATCTCTTATATAGATACAGATATGTCATATAAAGGCTGACTTTTCAGTACAGGCTGGGCTTGTTCGGATGGCATGAGTTATGCACATGGAAATTGGCTTTCTTGATTGGACAGGAGATGTTGGTATTAAGAAAGGGTGCTGTAATTGCTATTCTGATGAACTTTTCCTGCACTTTCTATTCTTTTTCCTGCACTTTCTATTCTTTTCTGGCAAGCCGTGATGAAGTGGTTTGATGCTCTCTCACACCCCAAAATAGCGTGGGCCTAACGTGATTAAAAGGGAGTGCATTCAATTCATAAGGAAGGTGTGCTGGATGCTGCTTCACTGTGCTCAGAGTGCTCTCGTTATTTTTTTCCTCTAGAACAAGCAGTGGAAAAAGTTCAGTCATTAATGCAATGCTGTGGGATAAGGTACTTCCTAGTGGGATTGGCCACACGACCAACTGCTTTCTCAGCGTGGAAGGGACTGATGGAGATAAAGCCTACCTCATGACAGAGGGGTCGGATGAGAAGAAGAGTGTCAAGGTAGAGTTCTGGAATGGAGAAAAAAAAGTCTTTTTTCACAGGAACCTTTTCGCAAAGGTTCTGTCTTTAACAGCAGTTTGAAGTCTAGTGGAAGTATAAGGTTAACTCATTTATCATTTATAAGCTAGTAGGTGAAACTGAAAGTGGCTAAGGTGTGTGTCATTGTAGCAGAGTGTACATTGAGTGATCAATTTTTGCAGGACTGTCAGTAAGCTCTGTTACTTGCTAAAGATCAACAGCATCTCTAGTTGGCCTTAGGGCACTTACCTTCCTGTGCTGCTCATGGGGAAGACTTAAAGCCCTGAGGCAAATTCATGACAGCTCTCAGTCTCACATGGAGCCCTGTGAGGAATACTCAAAACTCCCATGTACTTTTTGAAGCACAACTCATTCTTTAAGTACTAGCAAGTCTTAAGAAGATGGGAAAAAAAATCTTTTTAAAAGAAAGGCACAAATATTCACCAAAAGTCAATATTACGCTTTTGATAAGGGGAACTGAGTTAGGCTGCTTTGCAGACTCATTTGTGGTACACACTGCATGTTTGTCTTCTCTCTTCATGTTCCTGATAGACAGTCAATCAGCTTGCTCATGCCCTTCACATGGATAAAGACTTGAAGGCTGGCTGTCTGGTCCATGTCTTCTGGCCCAAGTCCAAGTGTGCACTGCTGAGGGACGATTTGGTCTTAGTGGACAGGTATGCTTTCTGTTGCAATAAACACCTCCTCAAGTAAATACGCCACTGCAGCATTTAAAAAAGAGACTTGTTGACTTGGTTGCTCTGCTGTAGAGTTACTAGTGGTGCTTTTTTTTCCCCCCTCTTCCTCTCCCAAGAGCGCAGAGCTTGTTCTTTGGTACGTAGTGCTGCCTGTCATTGCTCTGCCGATTCTGGCGTTGTAATGGTTGGAACAAAAAGGTGTCCTGTGAGTGCAGCAGGAGGGACTTGCTTTTGGCTGAGCCTGCTGACCCTTTAAAACAAACAGCATAGAAGTGTGGCCAAGGTCAATGCAACTGTAAATGTTTTGCTCGTTCCTTGTCCTTAAATGCTCCAAACTGATCACGTGAAGGGTGAGCGGCCTGGACTTCGTATCTAGAAGCTTATTTTAAGGGTTGCAGGACGTACATGTCACTCTAGTGAGTGCCTGAAAATCTCCCTGACGCTGTTGGTTAATGTGGCTATGTGTTGAGCTGACACTTCCCCTGGTCTGAACCAGAAATAACTGAGGTTTTGCAGACGTGAGCTAATGCTTATTGTATTCCACTTGTTTTTGAACAACTGACAGCTTTATAGTCCTGGCTTCATTTTGGTCGTTATGTTTTGCAAACTGTGCATAGGCCTATAACTTTAAATAGGCCTTTATTAGTGGAAAAAAACATAACTATTCTTAATGATTACAATCTAAAACTTGGGATATGGGAAGGAAGAGCATTCTGACTGGACTGCTAACAGACCTGATGCTTTTCTGGCTGTTACGATCTGCATATTTATTCACTGCATTTTGTAACATATTTGATGGTCAAATAAGTGACAGATAAGTGCTAAGTGGTAGTGAGCTTTTTCTTTGCCTTAAACTTGAGTTCAGCATCAGACCAAAGGTGCAAGACTTCGTATCTTAACTGTAATGTCCTTAAGTGATCCCAAACTATTTTCATCACTGTAGAAACTGGGTACTCCATTGCTGTATAAATGAATTTGTTTTCTGTTATCAACAGTCCTGGCACAGATGTGACTACAGAGCTGGACAGCTGGATTGACAAATTCTGCTTAGATGCTGATGTGTTTGTCTTGGTTGCCAATTCTGAGTCAACTCTCATGAACACGGTATGGTGTGCAGTGACTTCCCATCAGTTCTTTGTTTAATGTTTAAAATGGAGACATTCAGCAGTGGCTTTTTTTTTTCTGTGACTCAAGCCATAGAAGCTCAAGCAGGAAATGTAACTATTTTGTGGTTCAAGCTAATACAATAATATAATATAATAATTTAGTTGAAGAAAAAAAAAATACAGTTGGAGATGAAGAATAGCTTCTGGTTGTAGAAAGCAAAGTTGGCGTGGTGGATGACAATTAATGAAGGCTTCACAGTTTCAGCCAGGCATCTTAGTGGGGGCAAAAATAAAAAATAAAAAAGAAGAGCAGATACTGTCATGTCATATTTTGTGTTTTCTCTGTTTCCTGACAAATATTGTGATTGTCACACAGCTGGGAGCAAACTTAATGGAAGGCAAGAAAAATTGAAGGAGACTCAGTTTTGTAACAAAGAAGACAGTCAGTAAATGATGTGATAGATGTATAAAAGAGATGATTTTTTTTGTTGCAGTGTTTTCTGAAATATCTGTTTTGGAAGCTTTATTAATTGTATTTCTGCCCATTTTAGACAAGTTAGCAGCACTGTTGGCTTGTGTTGTTGGCATCGGTTTTAAGAGAGTTGATGACTTTTGAACTATCAGAAGCTGTTGTCTTCTGCTGGATGTCTCTGCTTTTCAGTGCTAATGAATTATTTTTAATATGAATCTTTAAACAACCTTGTTCATAGTCGGATCTCTTAAGAAGAATGCGTGACAGTTTCAGATGCCTGGCAAGTTTTCTGTTTGTGTTTTAATTCTTAGGAAAAACATTTTTTCCATAAAGTGAATGAACGGCTCTCTAAGCCAAATATCTTCATCTTGAACAATAGATGGGATGCCTCTGCAGCAGAGCCAGAATATATGGAAGATGTAAGTGAGTTGGTGGCTCTTGCTTGGATTGATGTGTACATGTATGCAAAGATGGTAATATATTTGTGTGTGCATGCTTTTATGCACGTGGAGGTATATATCTGTATAAATCACTGTGGTAATACACTTATTAGAATGAAAACAACAGCTTTGTCTTACAGGTTAAAGGATAGATTGATAGATGGAAATAATTTGCGGCTTTAATCCAAACTGCTGTGTACGCAGGCAGGCAGTGGAAGGCTTGTTTAGAACCTTTGTCTTCCACAGTAAGCTTGGTTTTAATGTTCTTTGTGATACCTTCTGATTTTGTGATACTGCTGCCTGAGGGTTCAGATGATACATGACAAAGCATGTTGGAGGAGCTGTCAGTGTGCTCTTCAGCTCTTTGAGGGCATCTGGTTTGCAGGAATGCTCAGTACTCTGCATATGGGGAATGGATCAGTTCCCTCCGTACCTGACTGAGATAGGAAACGTGCATAATAAAGACAGTTCTAGAAGGAAACATGTTTGCTTCCAGGACTGATTAAGTGATTTTAAAGCAGCTGCTGCATCAGTAGGGTTAGAAGGCATCTAGAGTCCAAGGAAGGGTCAGGCATGGCTTGTTTTGTGCTCGGATGTTTTGATTTGATGGCAGCTCAGTTGTTTTTGCCTGTTTCTCATGAGCTTCCACCTTCTCCTCAGGTGCGCAGGCAGCACATGGAGCGCTGTCTGACTTTTCTCGTTGATGAGCTCAAAGTTATCGATCCTGTAGAAGCAAGGAATCGCATCTTTTTTGTTTCAGCAAAAGAAGTTCTGAGTGCCAGGAGACAGAAAGCCCAAGGAATGCCAGAGACTGGTGTGTAGGAAATCTTTTTTTTTCTTTTTTTCCCTCAAATGCAAAAAAAAAATATCGTAAAGCCTGATAAAGGTGATCTGGATATTCGTGCTGTGTTGTTCTCTCCTTTATAGTCTGTTATGTTCCACAGGTGGAGCACTTGCTGAAGGGTTTCAAACAAGATTCCAAGAATTCCAAAATTTCGAGCAGATATTTGAGGTATTTATGATGGGCTTTTTTTAACTGCCCCTTTTACTAATGTGAAGGTAACTCCTGTTTGTGTGTGGCTTAATTTTACTGAGTATGACCTTGGTGAACAAGTGGAGGAGTGTCAGCTATTCCAACCATGTGACAGCTGTGCCTTATCTTCTGGCTGTGTTCATCAGTTGCCCCTTAGAGCGGCAGGTAGAACAGTGTTGTTCTGTGAGGGAAGGGGTCCAGGCTGGGTTCTAAGCTCATGGTTTGATATCTTAATACCAGTATAGTATAGATGATAAGAGACTGCTCTTAGAAATGCTTCTATCACTTAATAACCATTAGCTGCTAAAACGCCTGCTGTACTGTAAGACTTATTTTGTTCTGCACTTGTAGCTTTGTAATTCATTGTTGCAATCCAGCACTCAAACAGTAAGGTGGTGTGTTTCACTAACGTAAAAGTAAATATTTACTTGCATTTTTAAAGCCAGAGTTTAGAAATTATATCTATTGTCTACCTCTTAGCTCTGGTACTCTGAACTCTAATGCTCTTTTTGCATCCTTGGTGCTGTGCTGAAACCATCCTTCAACCTCAGTTTAGCTGTAGTCATAGCTGAGTTCACACGTTCTTTGGCAATAGGTCTGGCTAGATAATCAGTTGATTCCTGTGTGATAGCATCTATTTATCTTGTGGAATTTAATAACTCTAAAGCTGTTATTTGTTATCTTAAATTGGGGTCTTGGATATGCTCTGATTGTTCAGGCTTTATCTGCACTGTTATGGAAGACGTCTGAGATGTTGAAATAATTAGTTCAGAATACAGGCAGCACATAAGTCCAAGAGACTTGAAGTTTCTTGCTTGGGTTGCTACTTGTAACCAAACACGCATTTTTGTTTGTTTTTTTTTTTGTCTGTAGGCAGAGCAGGGAACTTTCAACTAGTTGGGAAGAAGTGGAAATTAAGTTTTTAAATCAATTGCTGCCATGTATTTTTGCTGTATCCAAAGCACTTCTTTTTCTGTAAAATCCTTCGTAGTTACAGTTATGCATTCAACACAGAATATTTAAAAATTGGCAGATGTGACTTATTAAATGATTTGGTGTTATAAATGCTCAGCACATTGGTAAATCAGATTTGAGAGTCTCGAGCTGGACAGTAAGATGAGAAATTTTGGTCCGAAGGTCACAACCACCACAGTGGTCCATCCTGAAGTCACAATAAACCTTGTGCTGCATCCAGTGGACTGGATTCAGTTGTCTTGAGTGAATATTCTACATAAAACCACAAACCAGTTATGTCACAGGTTGTAGGTTGGCAGAGTTGCTTCACCAAACAGAAATGGTGTATGGAGGAGTGGAAAAGGCATGCAGGGCAGAATAGTAGTTCTGGCTGTAATTTGGAATGAACAACAGAGCCTGAGTTAGTACCCTGCAGCAGGGTCCTTCCCTAACACCAAGACTGTCTGGCCATGCTGGAAGGCAGTAGACTTTCAATGGGTTTGGTTGCGTTACTGGAACACTGAAAGCTTTTATCTTTGTTTCAATAGTTGGTTATTTACAGAATAACAGCAAAAATGCTCCTGTCCTCCTCTTACCTTTTCCAGTCCTATAATTAACCTTTGTGTTTTTCCTAGTGCTCTAACTTGGATTGTCTGGTTGTGTTGTGAGTGGCTGTCATCCTTTTACCTACCACATACTAATGCTGGGAAGACTCTTTCCTCTGTGTCTAGTCTAGCTCTAACAATGTGCTGATATTTCTGAAACTCTGGCCTTTCATTGCTGATTTCTAGATCTGCTTCATCGAGGAACAGGGAATATATTTCATTCATTTTGTTTCTTTTGTTTTGCTTGGTTATTTGTAGATAGCTGCAGTTTGTTTTACAGTGCTGAGGTCATAGACAAGATTTTCAAAAGCAACTTAAACGCTGTTTGTGCTACCCACAGATTAACTGGAAAAAACCAAAGCTACACAAAACATCACCACCACAAAACAGATCTGATCTAAGGAAACGAGCTGCTTGCTTTCTTCCCCCTGAGTACAGAAGATGCTGCTGCTGGGTGGTCTCAGTGCAGACTGAGCTCCAGCTCTTACTGGCTGCATGCCTCATGATACACGCTTACTTAAAGTCTCAATTCGTGACCAATCACAACTGATTTGCTTTTGCCCATATTTAACATTTATACATCTTTCAGTTTGTTTTCTGTAGCACTGAATTGCCGTACAGTATTCAAGATTCAGACTGATAAGTGTTAAGGACTGCTGGAAAACTTTTGTTTCTAATTCCTAATTATATAGTTTGTGCCTGGACTGTCAGTATTGACATAACTTGTAACACTTTACTGACACAGAGCTGCTGCTTGAAGCTGTGAATATTAATTGCAACAAAAAGAACTCATGTGAGGCAGTATTGCCAGGGGTCACGTTAGACATTCAGTGTTCCCAATAGGCAGCTGGGAGAGTTTTCTTAAGAGCTGGATTGATTTAACACAGACACAGAGTTTGGTTTTTGTTTCCATCCTCATTTGTTTTAGCCAAAAAAACCTCTGCACATTACTGTCACTGAACGTGAAGGTATGAAGGTAGAGACCTGCTGCTGTAGATTCATTTGAGATTCCTTTTCTGTTGTCTTTTGATTTCTGTATGTTTTCTATTTTTGTTTCCCATGGGTTTAAGTTCATGCTAATAGCAGCAAGTGCTTTCTGACAGTGAAATTCCAGAAGGTGTTGGTATGGAATTGCAGTAATGTGTTGTGGCTTGGGCTCCTCGCAGGAGTGTATCTCGCAGTCAGCCGTGAAAACCAAGTTTGAACAGCACACTATCAGAGCTAAACAGATAATAGATACTGTGAAAAACATTATGGACGCCATAAACGTAGCTGCAGCAGAAAAAAGGTAGGTGTGTTGGAGGGCTGGTTGGTGTTGGTTTCTCCAGGTCTAAGATGACCTGGAGCCGTTTCCATGCTGGTGGTTTCTTGGATCATTTTGGATTCTGAAGTGCACTTTTTTTTTTTCTATTGGTGAGAAATGGAGAATTTCTCTGGTGTGCCAGCCTGACTGTTCTCTTGCACTGCTCAGTCTTGCCCTTGCTCTGTGACTCCTGATCTTGGTTTACTTTGTTTTCCTTCTTACTGATTTATGGTCACAAAGATAATCAGTGGGTTTTCCAATCATTTTTTAAAACTTTGAAGTTTTTTTCTCATTGTATCCAGTGCTTTATCTGTAGATGTTTGTGTGTTGTAACATTGAGTAACTACATGGGAAGCTGTAGTGCTCTGATTTGCAAGTGCTTAAGAGTGCCCAGAGGGCTGGGAAGAGCCCATGCGAGCTCTTTGGACTGTGTCACTGGTTCTTTTCAGGTTGTATCCTTCAGTGTCTTTACTCTCTCTTTGCTCATCTTTAGTGCATCCTTAGTGCATGTGGTAATAACTCATCTTTTCTCTCTCATAGTTCTTGGAAATTGAGATACGAATGTTTTTTCTCCACTTTTGCTGCTGCCTCTTCTTTCTCGTACATTTCTTTCCATCCACCTCCTTTCTGTGGCTGTTAATAAAGTGTCTTTATGTCCCAACAGACTCTGCTATTCCTGTCAGACATTCATCTTCCCAAACATATCAGCATTGCCAAGCTGCCTGTTTACATATTAATCTGTCTCACTTTGTCAGATGCTGTGAAAACCTTCTGTGAAACTGTTGGAAAATATTTTGATACCTCCTCCTTTCTGTCAGTTGACCAACCCAAACCTGTACAGTGACCCCTCCTAGTCTGAATTGTCTTTGAATGTAACTGCTGATCCTTCAAGACACAACTGCTCTAGATTTTCAGTGTGTTTTACTTAAACAATAGGTCTGCCACCTTTGAAGAGAGTTTGTTGTGACAAGGTTAGTTTCTGCTGCCTCCTGTTCTGCAGGGTCATTGGGCTCATGTCATTGGTAAGGAATAGTTGTATGGTGCCGGTGAGCAGCAGCAGGACAGTTTGGGCTTATCTTTTCTTTCTCTTATAATCAGGAAAGACTAAGTATTGAAGGCCTCTCATTTCTGCTCCCTCTTTATTCAGTTCCAACTCCAAATGCTACTTTTTAAGATATATCAAAGCTCAGTCATTAGAGTTCTATTCAATCAATGCAGCCTTTAAGTGCACTTGTAAATTTTGTATCTACGTTGCAGTCACTCAGAAGCAGTCAGTGTTTCTGCTTTGTTCCACTACTGTAACTTTGGAACTTTTTTGGCTGCTCAGGAAGCCGTGAGCTTGGTGGTTCGTGCCTAGTGGTACATGCTTCATTTCTGGGAGAATACCTGCTGGTAATTTCCTTTCTGCTCTGTTAGAGTGCTCTCAATGGAAGAGCGAGAAGACCAGAAGGACAGGCTGGACTTCGTTCGAAATCAGCTGAACATTTTGACAGAAGATACTAAGGAAAAAATCAAACGTGTTACTGAGGAAGTGGAAAATAAAGTAAGTAGTGCAGGGAGGGAGGAGTGTGTGCATGACACAGCATGGCAGATAAACAAGTGAATCTGTCAGCACGTGGATGTTGAGCAGTAGATGAACTTCTTACGAGTGACTTCACTTCAGCATTAGAGCTGTGGCTGACCACAGGCACTCTGAGCTTCGTAGAAGTTTGATCTGAAATTCTGCAAAGATGGACAAAGCAAATCTTCAGCTTGAGTAGATGTGAATTTTGAAGTGTTTGGAATAGGCACTTTTCAAAGTGGTAGCATAATTTGGGGCGGGTTTTTGCTCTCCTAAATTTGGAGACAACATTTATGTTCAAAGAGCGTATAAATGAATACAGACTATCAGATTATATTAGTCCAGGATGCTTGGCTGGGGTGAAGCCTGAAGCATTTGATAAGACGTTGTTTTAATTCACATTAGCAGTGCTAATTGATGTGTAAGAGATCGCTAGGCTGTAATCCACTTCAGTGTGTGTCCTGAGCATACAAGAGAAAAAACACTGAGCATCTCCAGTGTGTGTTGGGGAAAAATTGCATTATCCATGGCCTCTGGCATCCAGATCAGCTCATCTGAAATTGTCTGTGGTTGTAAGGAGAAGCCTGCAGGTTTTACCTCTGGACTGATGGAGTTTTTCTGATTAGCTGCAGAAGCTGATTGGAGGGAGTGTATTATGACCTGAAGTGTCCTGACCATAGCAGGTCACAGCAGTGTCAAAAATCTCTCAGGTTCAAATGCTTCTGAACAGCAGTCCCTTTCAGTCATGACAGAGGTACATACCCCACCCCAAGCTTTGAAGTACATTTGAAGTACATCTATATTCCATTTCAAAGAATAGAAAAGAAATAAAAAGAAACGCTGGCAGTCCTTGCTGAGTGTCAGGTAATTGAATTACTTTCGTAACTGAGTTGGTTCAGAAGCCTGCTTCCACTCTGTCTGGGAAAGATAGGAGAGGATTGCATTTTGTCTTTCAGGTCTCCTCTGCCATGACTGATGAGATTTGCCGACTTTCGGTTCTAGTTGATGAATTTTATTCAGACTTTCACCCTTCTCCTCAAGTACTGAAGCTCTATAAGACAGTAAGTTTCCTTTGTCTTTCCTTTGACTTCTTGTATAGATATTTTCATGATCTGCTTATCGTTTTACGTGGCGCTTTGTTTAAGCATTACAGACCTTTATGATACAGGTGTCTCTCTGCCCTGTCCTGGCTCTGCACAATGCCCAGAGCAGACTCCACACTGTTGGTGGGACTGGTCTTATCTCTCTGTAGACCAGTGAAATCGCCTGCTGTATTGTGACTGCCTGCTTTGTAGGGCAGCACCATACTGGTGTGCTCTTCAGTGTCACATTTTTATTGAAATGCATGCTTTTTCCATGTGCCTTTTAGTGATAACAAGCCTAGAGAAATCCTCCCTGTGTCACATTAATTAGATTTTTCCGTCACAATTTAAAGGCATTCTCATTTTCATATGGTAACCTGCTTTTCTTCCTACTGCAAATAATAACGCCTAGTGTTTAGCATACCTCTGAACAACGTAATGTAAATGACGAGCTGAATAGAAGTTGATGAGCATATTTTCTTTATAAACCTTCAGGAACTCAACAAACACATAGAAGATGGTTTGGGAAAGAACCTGGCTGATCGCTGCTCCAGTGAAGTCAATGAGTCGATGCACCATTCGCAGCAGGAGATCATTGGTAATGTGGGCAAAGCAGGGTGTTGGCTTTCTTGTTTAGAGAAGGCAACCTGGGAAAATGTGCTTCCACAATGATTTTCTTTCTGAACGTGATTTAATGTTTGCACCACACAGCAGTAAGGGTAAACCATCCTGGCTCAGGACTGTCTCTGGTAATAGCCTGTAACAGCTGTCTGGGGAGAGGAAGGATGAACCAGGGTCAGTAGAGTGATCCATGCCCTGCAGAGGGACTTCTGAACCAAAATACAGCATCTGAATTAATGGCTTAAGCAAGCAATAATGGACTTCCCTCTGGGAACTTGCCTAATCCTTTTGTAACCCCATTTTAGCCATGAAATGCAGTAATTGTCACATGATGTTTCTACAGTGTAGTCTCCACGTTGCTCTGAATTTACAGGATAGTTTCCCAAAGCAGTTGTGGTAGGATCCTGATTTAGCACGCTGGGTTGTTTTTTTTTGAGATGTTGGGGTTTTTTCGGTAGCAGTGTTTCCTATGTAATGTGAATGCTTATCCATTTCTTCTGCTCTGCTCTGTTTCTGGTAATAAAAGATCCAGAGCAAGATGATTGAATTACATGAAGCCTTGTTATCTTACTCAGTAATGTTGCCTTATCTGTATGGCACCACCAAATGGCTGGATAAACAAACTTATTTGCTGTCATCTTTTACCATTGCTGGAGGACTTGAAGTTAACGTCTCCTTTTCTGACAGTGGTGCTTTATCTACAAGTTGCTTTTGTGTGGCTGTTTTATCTGAGCAGTGAATGGGCTGCTGTGTTAGGATCCAGACTGCTAAAATGCTGGAGGATTTCTTTGTCTAGGTTTTTGTTTGTTTGTTTAAAAAGTCACTTTGGATACTTGTAGTTCTCAAAGCTGGTCAGCGCTGCAAGGATTCTACTTGGGAACATGCTGTCAGCCTCATCCTCTCTATCGGTTCTGTTTCTAGAAAACCTGAAACCATTGTTGCCTTCTGGTGCTCAGAACCAGCTTCACTTGCTGATTCCATGCAGGAAGTTTGACCTCAGCTATGATCTGAACTGTCACAGTCTGTGTGCGGATTTCCAGGAGGATATCATGTTCCACTTTTCCTTGGGATGGACTTCACTCGTAAACCGGTTCTTGGGTCCTAAACATGCTCAGAGGGTGCTTCTGGGACTGGCAGATCCCAATTTACAAGTGAGTGCTTCAGAGATGAGGCTGACCTTTTAAGTGCCTTGTGTTACCTTAATGAGGCTATATTGATTATTTTTTTACTACATGTTTTTTTTAAATCCTGTTTGCTTCTCCTGTTTCCCTGCTTCCTGCTGCGTTCCCTTAGTCCTTTTGTGTGAAATATTTTTGGCAAGGCTTGTTTTATTGAGTTATATTCAGGGTTAAAAGGGAACCAAAAATCTCTCCTATACTTTCTGCAGATGTTGCCTAAGTTTGGATTGAACGCTCTGGGGAACTTCTTAATTTGTCACATTTGCATCCTTGAGCAGAGCCCTCGTTCTAACCTAGCCCCTGTATGACAGGGAACTGTCGGAACCTCCACTGTTTACCAGGAACATTGTTCAGACTTCTGTGCTGAAGAGCTCACTTTAAATGAACGGAACCCTGAATAGATGAAAATAAAACTGATTCCTGTGTAGTTCCACAGTGCTTTTGACTCAGGCTGCTGTATTCCACTCTTCTAGATCCCTCGTCCCTTAGCTACCACCCCGTCTGCTGCCAGCCTTCCTGCTGCAACTCCAGAGAACACATCACCTGATGATTTCATGGTTCCTTTGGTAATGAGTTTAGCTTCACTGACATCACGGACCTCCATGAGCATCATCGTTGTTGGCGGAGTGGCAAGTAGTATTAGCAGCACTCACTGATGGCAGAGATGGGCTGTTCTCTCCTTTCTGGGGTTCCATACTATGCAGCATGAAGCATGTAGTAACTTACTAGCGTGGCCGGGCTGGATGAGCACTTGTGGTGCACTGGATGCCAGATTGTAGGGGAAAATTGCTGTGATGATGCTGAGTGTAGCTGGGCACGTTCTGACTGTGTTCAGTTTCTGAACTGTGGGGTGATTTGATTTTGCCTTCTGTACTGTTGAACTGGTGGAAGTCACTTTGCTTTTTCCTTCCTCCTTCTGTAACCTGGATGTTCTCCAAGCCACGGGGGCAGCAGCTGATTTGGATAGAGCTGTACTGCTCGACAGTCATATATTTGCTAACAATCTAATCTAGTAAAAGGGCCCTGAAGACAGAAACAGCAAAAAAAAAAAAAAAAAAAAAAGGTGAAAATAAATGGACTTCCTTATAGTCTAGTTGCATTCTGTAGCAACAATATTTAAACTAATTATTTAAATTATTTAAACTAATTTTATTAGTTCTTATTTAAACTAACGAGTCGTCCTTTTCAGATTTGGAAAACAGTTGGCTGGAAACTCATCTCTCTCTCCTTAAGTATGTATGGCTTATTATATCTCTATGAGAGACTAACTTGGACCACTAAAGCAAAAGAGAGAGCCTTCAAGCAGCAGTTCGTCAACTACGCGACCGAAAAGCTGCAGATGATCGTCAGCCTTACGAGTGCAAACTGCAGCCACCAGGTGCAGCAGTAAGTGTTACACAGGATAAGAAACCTTTGTCTGTGTGGTGCCGGGTTGTCCTGGCAGTGGGCTCGGCTGTATGTGGTGTAGGAAGGCAGCAGGAAATTCTTGCAGCCCCTCAGCGTTGATTGTAAGGGACATTTGTGATATTGTTACAGGGAAAAGGTGTTACTGTAGCAACGATAGGTGTTGGTAGGTTATGGGCGTGAAGTTGGCACCTAGAGAGGGTAAGACGAGCTCCTCTGCGTGGGTATTTACATGTGAGAGCCTGTCGTTGTGGACTCGAGACTCTTTAACACGTTACTGGGTGGTTGGACATGGGAGTAGGCTCGGTTCTAATGGACACTGATTTTGGGTTTGGCTGCTGCAGTGTGGTTCCTGCCAGCATCCCCATCTCAGGCTTAACACCTGTAGGTACTCCATCAAAAGTTGACACGTGTGATGTTAGAATGGACTGTGGTACCTTTTTACGATCAATGCTGCCTTTTAAATTTGAAAATTAGGTGATTTTCCTGATTTGTGCTCTGTAATCCCCTGGCAGCTGGAGGCTTTGATTGCAGTGTTTTGCTGTGCACTGCAGCACTGTGTGATTTATCCTGCATTATTTTTGTGGCAGACTTCTGCAAGCCCCAATTACAAACTTGTTTTTCCTTCAGGGAAATGGCCACTACCTTTGCTCGGCTCTGTCAGCAGGTGGATGTTACCCAGAAAAACCTGGAAAAAGAAATTGCCCGTCTTTCCAAAGAAATAGATCAGCTGGAGAACATACAGAGCCACTCCAAGCAACTAAGGTGAGTCTGCGTGTGACTGCCAGGACCAATTCCTGGCACTGCTGACCTCTGAGTGGATGCCTGCTGTTACCTTCAACCTACAAGTGAGGTATACACAGGTGCAGGCACCGATACCTCTTTCCTTTACTCAGAACCAAACAGCTCTTTGGTTAAGAGTTAAATACATGCAGGCTTCTTCCAAGGAGAATGAGAAAAGCTCCTGAACTGCTCTCTCCTAGACAGTTCTTACCTTACTCTATTGTATAGGAGAGGTGGCTTTCTTAAGTGTTTGTCTCCCACAGGTAAACCAGGGGGGTGGCACCTTCCCAGAGAACAGGAGAGCATTAGAGCAGCTTCAGGTTGTCCCTCAGTTCAGTAGGCCTTTGTGGAACAGAAACTTGCAGTGGGTGCCTTAGGGACTCAGTAGGCCCAGGCTCCAACCAGAGCAAACGTTCCGGTTTTCTCAGTGCTGTGGGTTTTAGGAACAGAAGCCAAACAGAATTATTGCTCCTGCCCTCTTTGTGATTGATCTGCATTGAAGTGAATACTTTGCTTTTGTTTGTTTTACAGAAATAAAGCCATTCACCTTGAGAATGAACTAGATCGCTTTACAAAGCATTTTCTTCAAAAGAGTAAATAAAGCATCATCGTTACCCTTCCCAGTGATCCTTTGTAGGACAAAGTAGAAATTTTACAGATGACACTTCTCTGTGGAGTCACACAAAATGATTTATATTTTTAATCTTATTTTGATTACACTTAATTATTGTAAAGCTTAATTTGGACTCTGACGGTGAACCAAACTGAAGAGCTGTGGGATGCTTATAACTGCTATGTTTGTTCTGAAGATTTGGGGTTAAAAATCTTTAACACTAAATTTCTTTGGGCACTTGAGAATAAAAACCCAAATCTCTTCTGATTTTTGTTAGTGCTTAGTTGGGGCAGGTCTGGCTTCCTGGCATCCAGGAGTTTATGCAGGGAGAGTGCTTATCACTGCTGTCTCTCTCCTGTTCTCAGCTGACTAGGAATAGCCAGGGAAGAAGAATGCTGCTTTTTCATTTGTGCTCGTTTTGGTTTTTTAAGGAAGGGAAGTATGAACTCCAGCGTGGTGGACAGGAGTCCTGACCATTTTGGAAGTGGAATTGGGTTGGGAAGATTTTCCAGTTCTTGGATAAAGAAACAAAAGATGGTAACTGTGGAGCAGTCACTCATAGAATGCAGTAAGCTGTAGTTTCCCCGCTGGCTCCTGCAGCTGTAGCCAAGATGGCGTTAAGTAAAAACAAATAGTTGGTAAAATGGATGCTCATCTCTGAGAGCACAGCTGGAACTCACCTCCAGGTGAAGTGCAGCAAAGAAGCGGCCGAGTCAGTGGCCTTGACCCCATTTTTGCATGTTGGAGGGAAAGATTTGGGTGTCAGGCTTCTGCCAGAGCTCATCTCCTGCACGCAGAGGTGGAGGCTGTCTGATGGCATTTCCTCATCCTGACCTGCTCCTCGGTTCTGCTGTAGCACTGATCTCTGCCCTGAGCTGTGTGACAGGTACGTGGGAGTACTTCCACCTCTGCTCACTTCTAGCAGTGCAAAGCCTCTTAACGTGGCTGCTGACACCTGCAATCACAGAGCACCTTCGTTTTTCTAACCAGACTTTTTAAGAATAACTTATTTTAGAAGAGAAAGCCTTTTCAGAATATTTATATATTTTTATGGATGTATTAACAAGACTAATGAAATACTCAAATTCAAAGCCTAAGAGGTAAGGATTTGCTATATTCCAGTAAATAAGGGCTATCCTAAAAGGAGGTAGATTTTAAAAGCTAACAGTAATGGAATGTCGTTAATAACTTGAAGCTGAGAGCACTGTTTTCACCACAGTGTACGTGGTGGTGGTGGGTTCTGATGTGCAGCAGCACAGCTCTCTGCACTGGTGTTAGCAGTGTGTGAGGTGTCTCAGGTTGACTGAGGAGAACTGTGAAAATGAGCGACAGCCCAGCCTTTGTGTGAGGTCACAGGTGTGTGTGGGTGCTCTTGTCTGAAGCGTTGTTGCAGAGATTGTACCCAGATGAGAACTTTACATGCATGTGTTCTACAGTTATTTATTAAAAAATTAACTCTCTCTTTTCTCCTGTAGTAACGTTATTTCACAACTGTCTCAGTGGGGAAAAGCCACCCCCTTGTTTCCACTGGAGGACAAAACCCACAACCACTGAGGTTGAACCTGCATTTCACCAAGCAGTATTGATTGCTTAGTTCAGTTGTAGGGAAAAGAATCAGTGAATCGGTACTAGAGCCTTAAAAAAAGAAGTGGCAGATGGCACTGTGCAACAGGAGTTCTGCTGGTAAGAATGAAGGAATGCTGTAAAAAAAATAGTTTTGGTCCAGGTTGGTCCCTTACAAACTTCCTGCTCTCTTCAGTGCAGCCTGACCAGGTTCTGGAGTTCATTTAGCCTCCAAAAAGCGATTTTGGGTTAGAAAAAAGAATAACAATTCTGCTGTTTAACAGCAGAAGCAGCAACATCCAGAGTGCCTCCTGCTGATCTGCCTCCATGGAGCTCAGGGACAGAGCCTCCAGCTGCAGGGCAGGGGTCTATGAAGTGGAGTTGGAAAGGAGCATCCACACAGGGCACCCTCTGGTTAAAAGCACTTGTTTATTGGTTACAATATCAACTCATGGCAACATCTTTCACTGAGCCACTGTACAAATACAAAGAAAAGATCCATTGTGAGGGGAAAAAAAGAAAAAGCTATAAACAGAGTTCATAGCAAGTGATCTTTTTTCACAGGGAAGTCTTTTTACAACAGCACTGTTAAAGAACAAATGGCACAAGTCCCTGGTTTTTTCAATAGCTTAAATAAAAGCTTTAAGACTGTTTCTGTATACATACACGATCCAAAGGCAGTGCAGAATCACTTCATAATTGGTAACATGACTGCAGTTATCCAAAGTAGTCAGCAACAAGTGACAGAAGGAACCGAGCTGATGAGAAATGCCAGAAACTGAAGGCAAATTAAAACCGAGATGGTTAGAAGCAGTTTTGTTTTGGACTCCTTTGGATGTAATATGTACTACAAGTGTTCAGATGCTTTTATTTTTTTCTTCTTTAAAAAAAAAAGAAAGAAAGAAAAGGAAAAAAAGAAAAAACACAAATAGAGCACCATTGTGTAAGTAAAACAAAGGCTTGAAATATCTAAGACTATTCCACCGAAGTCCATATTAGTTAAAACCTAAACATACTGTGTGGTATAAGAATGTCAGGCACATGTAATCTGTTATCAGTTATATCAATTAGTAACACTGTTCACACATTTACCATAACAACACTGCATTAACATTCTGCATGTATTTTACATAACCAGCAATTGGATAAAAAGGCTTGTGGTGCCTCTGAAGTGTAGGAAGTAGTTTACCAGCATGCATGCCAGATTACTGTATACAAAGTGCACCATCAACCCATGCTTAATTACTTTTACAGGAAATGCTATCTCAATAATCAGTCATTCTGCTACACAACCATTTATACCAACTATTTGAATTAGCCAATACTTATTCTCACCAACATCTTAAAGCACAGCACTAAACCTAGTGGAGGTGACTGTCCTCAAAGAGGAAAGACTAAGCACGCTTGGAATGTTTTCACAATGGTTTCATTCTACCTTAAAGTAACGCCAACTTCATTGTGGGACACAAACTGAAGAGTTAACTATTTCCAACCCATGCACAACAGTAAGCACACCAGGACCAGCTGTTACATCCATTCAGCTTTGGACAGTCCAGGTCAGGCCCTCTCCCAGACTGGGGGCAGCCCATCAATCCACGTTCCGCTTCAGTACGCAGATCGGTGTCAACACTCAAACCTGTCAGTTCTGCCAGACACTGCCAGGCAGCTGCAGCTTTGCAAGGCAGATGGTGCTGATGGTTGGAAGAAAAAAGGTCTGGAGACAGATGAAAACAGGCCAACATTGCAGTACTCAGAGTATACAGTGAGAAGCTTCTGTGGTTTCCAGAATCTCAATCAAGATCCCCACCAATAAATCGATGTCTGAATCTACACAACAACAAGCCCAGGTTGGGTGCTTGCCTGGCCTGATTAGCATCCTGTATTGCAGTATTAAATCAACACTGGAAAATGCTGACAAAAAAAACCAAAAACTACCCAACAACTGTACCCGAATGAAATAAATCTTGCTACGCAAAGCACAGAGTTCCACGTTCCACTTTCCAAGCCATAACCAATAGGATTTTAGAAGAGAGGCTGGGAATGAGTTACTTTGCCACCAATGGTTTTGGCACAATGGTCTCAGTTACTACATTTCTGTAATTACACAAGGTATTTGAAATTCAGACCATGATGGCAGCAAACTTTTACAGTTTAAGATGTACCCACTGGGGCTGCAAAATCTGCTGTACACCCAGTTTGCTGCCATGGAGCAGTTAGAAATTGCACGAGCTGCACATGTGTGCCTACACCATAGCAGAGGCACAGACCATTCTCAAAGCTGGGAATTACATCTTGTAAGTAAAACCTACAAAGGCTCATTTTCTTAACTTCCTCATATTGGAGAGAGTTTGAGCATTTAGCCATTAAACCACATCCATTCTCGTGAGTGAGCTCACCACTGATAGCCATAAGAGAAAGAAACTTCATGATTTGGCCTCATACAACAGCAGCAATGCATTACATCAAGGCTGTAGGCTTTTTTTTTTTTCATTAGATAATACAGGACAGTAATTAAACAGCAAACATCACCTTGGCAGGATCTATCACAAGCTTTCTACAAGTTCCCAAGACACATCAGATACTTTTTCCAGTTGTGCTGAGGCTCCTTCCACCTTTCCTTGTGCACCACCACAAAAGGAGCCACCACGGGACCTGCAGCACTAGAAGAACCAGTTAACCAAACAGCAAAAACAGGCAGGTATTTTAATGATGCTTTTGGAAACCTCACAGGCAAGTAGTTGGCATTCCTTACTAGCAGCTGAATCCAACAACTGCTCATCAACCAATGATAGTGAAGTTATTTGCAGTAATACCTGTACCAGAGCCATTACCATGCTTACAGTCTACCCAAACTTTTAAGAAAAGTTATATACATTTGTAAAGTTGTTTTTGGAGCTTCACAAGTAGAAACCAGCTTAAACACCAGAATGTAAAAATGGCATCTGTCTTCGCAACAGCGTTGGCTAAGAAATTGGTTCAAAACACATCTCTATGGAAAAAAACTTTTTAGAAAAAGAATATTTTCTTAAAATTCTATAGTAACAAATTCACTCAAGGCAGCTGTGAGTTAAAAAAAAAAAAAGTTAAGTGCACCACTAAAAATTGAACCAAATCTGAGAGCTCTCAACTCGCTCACTTAAAGTGTAACAAGTATTCCTTACTAGTTCTGTAAATGCAGATCGAAAAGCAAAATGCTGAGGAGTTCCTGTGACATTGTGTGATTTTGGTCCTACACCACAACCTGCTGTTGGCAAATGTACGCTCCTGCAGCACGAGAAGTGCTGCTTTGTTTTCTTGAAGTGAATTTGCTGTGACTGGTACATTTATTGGCACCTTTGCCACTCAGACACGGCAAGTTTACAGGCACAGTTTGGAAGTTCGGAAATTTAGGATTACAAATATCATAAACTTGACAAAGAGCCATCTCTGTTTTGGCGTACTACAAAATATTGGGCACTTAGATTTGGTACCTGACCCACCGATACCCAGACTCCCCATAACTTCAGCTGAGGGCGGATGAACGTTATCTTCCAACCTGGTAATTTAAAATTCACATATATTTAAGACAAGTCACTTCAGAAAAGCCAATAGACTTGATTTCCCCTTTCTACAAACGCCACAGGCTTTGAGATTCCCAAGGGAACATCCACTGCAGGCACAAGCATGCTGCCAGGCACCAAGAAGTTAAGCAGTCCTCCTGGGTAGTTTCAGATGGGCATCACTCACTTGATTTTCTTCTACCTACACTCAACCATACTTGATCAGAACCTGCCACTTATAAGCAGCTGCCACCAACATCTGAATAAATCAGGAAGAGGAGATGGCTATTTACAGGGTGAGAACTGCAGAACAATTAGCATCTAATGAGCCACTATGGCACAGACCTGTGACCACAGGAGAACAAGCAAGTCGCTAACTTCATAGCACAAAGTTTTAAAGGGCCACACAAGTAAGTAAGGTTATTTGGTTCACTGTAAGTTACACAATTCCTTTCATAACTCACACTGCACGTAACTGACAACAAGCACTTTTGGTTGTGGTATGCTTTGGCAAACCCCCAGTTTGGAGGGGAATTACAGGTGATTAACTGCACATTTAAATCTTTAAGATTCTAAGCAAAGTTCTCTTGAATTCCCGTTTGTTGGGGTGACTGAGCAAGCTCTGCAAGCACACTGCTTTCTGCACAGAGTATCACGCCAAATCGCTGTTAGAGTTTGTGACAGGCCAAACTGTCTCATTTAGAGCTGAACTGTCAAAAAGAAAAGCACTCAGCCACTTAACAACAGCAGTGCAGGTCACCTGGTTTCCATACCCAAGGGCTGGGTGGAACAGCAGATGCGGAAAGCCGCAGTAAGGAGGCTAATACTTCTGAACTGGACTTTTTTTTCCCTCTGTTGTTGCAACTCTGCCTGGCATTAACTCCTTGGTGTTTGGAGGCTGTCACTGCCAATGGATGAACCAGGAACCACTGGCTTAAGGAAGAACCCCCACGATTAAAAATAGGCAAGCAGGTCAAGAAGTGAGTGAGTAAGGCAGTAGGTATTAACTGGGAGTCTCCAGGGCCTCTAAAAAAAAAAAATAATAAATTCAAATGCCTTCCATTATAAAAACACATACATACCATTGGCTTCACTTTATCTACAGTAAATTCACAAAAACATTTAAAACAGCAATTATAGTTCATCCACTACAAAACTCAGAAGTGACACCTCAGGTTAAAGCAAAGCTATAAATGTAGTTCCTTAAAAAAATGCAAACATATTTCTTTACATACAGACAAATGTTACATGATTGGCTGCTATAACGTGTATATTCTGTTATGTACAAATAAAAGTACAGGATTAGCAGACTGAGCACAAGCAAAAACCCTTCAAAGACAATCTAACCAAACCATCAAAAACAAAAAGACTGGCTCTTAGTTTGTCGGTCACCATGATTATGTGTGCTGGCCCCTTTTAAAAAGTCAGTGATTTCTTCCCCCCTCCCCTGTTTCTTCACTTGATTTTTTTTCTAGTTTACAGAAAGCCTTTTTGTGTAATAATCAGTGAATAGAAAAACTTCACCTGCAAATACAAGGTAGAAATGTTATTTCACAGCTATAGGCTGCAGCATTGATCTCTCCAGGTCTCAAGTGGAGAATGTACATGTTTGGCTCCCAGTTAATTCCAGATTCTGAGAAAACTGTCCCAAGACCCTGTAGCTACAGCCATGCCATCATCAGTAACACCTAAACAGCTGACACGGTTGTCATGGCCAGCAAGGACACCTGGAAAAGAACAACTGAATGTTAATGTTTACAGGATGGAGCAAGGACTTCAGCTGCTACTCTGCCCTCCCAGGTTAAGTCTTCAAACAGGCTGATAAATGCATAACAAGAGGTCTAAGCACCCTCCGTTTTCTTTAGCTTCAGGAACTGCACATCACAACAGCCATATCAGGAAAAAGAACAGTGAAGCCACTAACAATACGTGCACACAAACAAACACGTTTCTGCCTCCATTTATTTCCTCTACTCTTAAACTTTTCCATCTTCTTGCCCCACAGGCCTCCTCATCCCTTGCCACGCTCTGTACTGTTTTGTCCCACATTTTCAGCAATGCCATCCACAGCGTTGGCCATCAAGTCAGTTTTTCAAAATCAAATGTGATATTTTTGATAATACCAGAGACAGAGCTACTTGTCAGAAGCATTACTACTTGTGATAGCTGCCAGAACCAATGCAAATGCAACATTTTGTATTGCCTAGTTCTGTACGTTTCAGCAAGATAAACTTTCCATCCATATAATGCAACTTTGGTGGCTGTCCCTTAACCTTTAGAGCTATCTTTCAGCAGAGATAGAAGATGGCCAACGCACTGTAACAACTGGAAGATACAACCAAATGAAATGGTATCATTCCAAGAGAGCAGTGCCAACAGGAAGCAAGCAG